TTTTAAAAAAAATTAGGCTGGTTATCCACTGAAATTGAAATTTGAAATTTCTAGAAGGCTCACCATCCCCATCTAGTGTCATGTTGTATATTGCACTTAAAACACACCTAAAACATTTTATTTGCAGCAGTATAGCTGAGTCCCTGGTTTCCCCCCTCTCTTTAAGACGTGGTGGTTGATATGTCATGCACCCACTGCAGCCATTATGTTGTGCTATGCCCCCACAGCAGTCATTTTGTGACCAGTACCCACAACACTTTTTGGCTCAAAAAGGTTGGCAACCTCTGGTAAGCAAAGGATAAAATATTGGGCTCATTATTCAGCTTTCTTTTCTGCAATTTGCAGCTGCTAAAAGAGAATTAAAGGTACACAAGAAATGCATTGTGAAATTTCAGAGGCATATAAGGAATGCAGTGTGAAATCTCAAAGGCTGGGATAGAGGAATAAGTCACTGTCAAAGAACCAAGCTTCACTATCCTACTCAACATTCCTTCCCTCCTCAATGTATTAAACATGCCTTTTCTATCTTTGGTTGTTGGTTATCGCTTGATTCAATATTAGATAAATAAAAAATTCTCTCCCTTTCCTAACTCCATAGTACTTTTAAATGGGATGAGCAAAACTATACACAGAATTGTAAATGGGATCATTGTGTCACAGATTTATCAAATAGCCTCATGATTGCTGTTCTTCAGTGCTGGGAGTCATGCAAACAAACAAAAATCCCTGAAATGAGCTCAAATTATATTTTCTGGTTCTGCTATGCAAGCCAGTGTGGGAAAGATATTTGGACACTCAGCACTCATTCTGTTTGCCATATAATTGACAAAACTCTGCAGGATGTAATGTTAGTCATACATGGAACTAGCACACCCTTCACCGATAGCTGTACTCTCTGGGGATGATGCTACAGTCCAAACCATCTAGAGAGCACCAAGTTGGCAAAGGCTGAACTAGCATATCAAAATACAATTTTTCATAAGTTACTTATTTCTCGTAATAGTTATTTAACTGGAAATGCATTGCAACTGCAAACAACGGTAATATTGACATTCGTTTATAGTGGGGTCCTTGAATTCATCTAGATCCTATATGACATATTCTAAACTAGTTCAAAACAAGTTCAGAGTGGCCAAACTGATTGCCAAACCATATTTTGAAGCCCGGAAGTGATTTGGATAATTAAAAAAAGAAGGATGAACCTGACTGGTCAGAACCCTGTTTGTTTGTTTGCTTGCTTGCTTGCTTGCTTGCTTGCCTGCTTACACAAGGGGTTGCCAATCTGTGGTGAAATGGGAATTGGCGACTCCTGGCCCTGTGTGCCACGACCTACTTCTGCCACTGCAACTGCCATCCCCCTGGTTTGTACCAAACTCGGTGGGAGCCGGGTGCTCCTCCAAGTGTTGCTGCTCAGTTGACTTCTCTGTGCCAGAATGCTGCCCGCTTGGTAACGGAGGGGGCGGGGGACGCAGAGCGCCAGCTCTTGCACTTCTGCCACTTGAGGCAGCATTTAACCCAGGCTGGCTCTGCCATTAGCCATGCTGGCTGGGGCTGATGAGAGCTGGAGTCTATAACATGTGGAAGGCCACAGGTGCTCCATCCCTGATTTAAATTAGAGTTACGCAGAAGTTAACCAGTTTATATCAAAAGGACAACAGATCTGAGGCTCTTGAGTTGCTTTCATTGTTGTCAGGAGTGCTTGGATTAAGTACATGACGATCCGAGAGCAAAATCAATGTATTCTGTTCTAGTCAGTTTTCTCCTTTTGCCTCCTTTCCTCAAATGACATGTCAGCAGTGCTCTGAAGCTTTCCTTCCACATGAAGTGCATTCAGTGTCACGTGAAAGACATGTTATTAAAGGGAAATTTAGTATGACAGCTCTATGGCTACCAAAACACAAGAGGCTCTTGTCAAGAGCTGGGTGGTTTTGTTCTTATGTTCTTTCTGCTGGTTGGAAACACAGAGGAAATACAGCATCCTTTCCACAGCTGGAAATCAACTTTTGAATCCCACTTCAATACAAATTTTACATTACAACAAGATGTTGAAATCACAGCATTCTAAATATTAGTACTAAATTTTTAAGCAGCCTTTAAGCATAGTTAATGTTTCCTTAATTTCAAAAATGGAAATGGGGAGGGAGCACAGGCTGGATTTCCAGGTTCCCCAGACACAAATTTAAATTTGAATTTAATAAAATGTGAATCTTAGTTGGATTATTTATTCATTGCAGAATCATTGCAGAATCTGGCCAGGGGCTTCTTTGGCCCACAGATGTTTGTTACAGTTTCATCTTTCTTAAATATTGCACGGTATGACCATTGGCGCTTCTACATATATAAGGTCAAAATGTTTTATGGACTGCAGCTTTTCTCAAATCCTTCTGATGTAAGAGACTCTACACATGGTCTAATGAATGTGCAACTATCAGAGAGGGAGAGGGGTCTGCCACTGATGCTTTCATATTAGCCCTTTTGGCTATCATGAAAGAGCTTGAATAGGCTGTGCAAAGAAATTTAAGTTGCAACCATACTGGGAGAGTAAGCACTACTGAACTTGTTGAAACTTACTTTTGATTTGATGTGTATATGCTTGCACTGTAAATCCAATACAGTGGTACCTCGGGTTATATATGCTTCAGGTTACATACGCTTCAGGTTACAGACTCTGCTAACCCAGAAATATTACCTCGGGTTAAGAACTTTGCTTCAGGATAAGAACAGAAATCGTGCAGTGGCGGCGCAGCGGCAGCAGGAGGCCCCATTAGCTGAAGTGGTGCTTCAGGTTAAGAACAGTTTCAGGTTAAGAACAGACCTCCAGAACGAATTAAGTTCTTAACCCGAGGTACCACTGTATTTAAATACGATCCAGCCCACTACTAAGGTGACTACTTAACTGAAGTCTGTTGCAGAAATTCATTATTTAATTGAATTTTCAAGGCAAATATTTTGAATGGTGTTTGGAACTCACTTAACAATTCATCAAATTCCATTCATTTGATGGTAAGCTTGTTTTTCAGACACGGAATCAACAGTACTGTGTTAAACTGGATTGTAGACTAGGCTGCGCACGGCTTAAACGTTTTAGCAAGCTATGAATGCTAAAACAAAATTTATAGCTGTTTTAAGAATAGAAAGTGTATCAGACATCCAGCACTTAATTGTGGAAACTTCATGTCTGTTCTCTGATGAATTATGGGAGGGTGGCAGCTCCCACCAAAAAATAGAGAAGAATATATTATTTTTCTGCTTTCTTTCTTTCCATTGCTCTGCCCACTTTTGTCTCTGGTTCCTCCATGTGGCATGTGGCTCAGTGAAGCTTTTCTAGAAAGGCATGAGGCCCACAGACTGAAAAGCAACACACACACACACATCGGCAATCTATACTTTGACATATCCAAAGGGAACTATATGGTTGAATGTAGGCACAAATTACCCATGATTTCAGATCCTAATACACAGCAGGTGGTTGGGCTCATGCATGTGCTAAGTACATACCGTATGTATAAAGGACGGAGGACAAAATACACGGACTGTGTCAGGTGAATAAGGAAAGTAGGAGCATGTGTTCAGCCAAACCACCTGATGTAGAGGCAGCAGCTGTGTCTAATGTTAACTGCCTTGCCTCTGTTCCACTAGTTCCAATGGGCAGCAGCCTCTGCCCCCACCTGAAAGCTCTGTTCAGCTCAGACAGTGTGTGTAAGAGGGGGGAGAAAGTAAAGCAATGTGGAAATTTATCAGCAACATCTGTTGGCATTGCTTTCCCACGCATTGCCTTGCACAACTCCATCATCCCACACTGGAACTCAGCCCTCATCTGCCCGCACCAGCCACAGAAGCAAACACAAATCTTGTTTTGTTTAGTTTTGTTTTCAATTGCTTCCGTTCCTGCAGGAGCACCCTTGGCTCTGCCGTCTGCCTTGCCCACATCATCCAAATGTTTAAAAATAAGGCTGGCCGCTCTATAAAGCTGCCAAACAGGGGGAAATTTACCAAGCGAAACTTTTCTCTTTCCGGGGACAGCGAAAGCTTCAGTGCCTTTGATGTGAGCTCATAATACCTGGAAGCTGAAACCTCAAAATAAAAATGCTCTTCAGATGGCTGATAAGTGGTGCTATTAGAAAATGCCCAGAGTCTGTGGTTAACGAGAGTGACCCCCCCCCCCGACTTTTTTAGACTGTAAAATGTATTGTTATGTTTGTTGCATGTCTGGGCTCCCCTTCTAATTTCTGCACCACCACCCCCTTCTAATTCCTGGGTGCCAGGTGCTGAAATTAGCATGTTGAAATATAAACCATGTTGAAATATAAGATGGGCTGGTTTTCTGATGCCATAATCACCTAGACAGATGGGCTACCAAAAGAGGACAAAGGGAAGGGCAATGACCCATTAAGAAAGCCCATCAGCAAGACTGGGTCAGCCAAAAAGTTGGGTAGTCAGAATTACAGTATTGCAATTCATCTGATGTAAGCAAGAGGAAAAAATAGTTGTATTTCCAAGCAGTTTGCAAGTTGGAGAAAGGGTGTGTGAGAGAGCAATATGGTCTGGCAGTCCGAATCTAAGGAGCCTCTTGGGGTGTAATGATGGAAACCCCTCCATCAGAGGCTCAGGAATATCACAAAGACACCACTGTGTCTCCGTTGTGCCTCGTTTCCAGAAGGAAACACGAACCCTGGGCAAGTGCCTGGACTCTGAGCCCTGGAATCTCACACCGCTCAGAGACAGGGATGGCGTGCAACAATATTATTATTCCTTGCTCATTCTGGTCAGCAGAGCCCAGCTTTGACAGCACCACGAATAAACATACGGAGAGCAGTTAAAAAAAACCAGACACAAATCAGGTAAGTTCACGAAGGCCCTTTCTCTCCCTTTCAGAAACCAGCAGTCCGCCTCTGCAGAACACTCTCCCTTATAGCGTCTCTTGCTACTTTTAGACTCTCAGCCGGGCTCACCACTTCCGCGTCAACTGGGGAGAGTTTATGAGGCAGCACGCATCGAACCAACTACAAATCCCAGCATGCCTATCGAGGCGTCCTGGATCGCTATTGGCTGCAGGCTCCGACGTCCCGTTCCTCCCTGTGCCCGGGCCGGCCGGTCGGTCGGCGCAGCTGGGTGTGTGTGTGTATCTTTCTGAGTTTGGTGCCGGAGCAAGCGGGGAGAACAGCGGCTGCTGCTGCGAGTTCGGCTTGGCAGGAGCCATGGCAGCTGCCTTAGGCGTCGCCAGGGCTCAGCGAGCGCGCCGGTGTCTGCTGCTGCAGCTGCCAGGGGCCTTCCGAGCTCCGCTTGGCCGAGGCTGCCGCTCTGGGGTGCCGGCGCGGCAGCAGCAGGCGCTCGCGGTGCCTTCAGCCTCTGCGGAGGTGAGGAGAGCGGAGGGGGCCGGGGCAGGTGGGTGGCTGGCTGGGTGGGTGGAAGGCGCTATGCATAGCTCAGCCCTAGCAGGGTCTCCTTCAGAAATAAGCCTTGCTGCATTCATTGCGGGCCTCGCTTCCTCCCAGGTAAGTGGGTGGGGGTGACTGCGGCGCTAAGCGTGTTTACTCGGGAGTAGGTCGAGGGGAGTTTCTTTCCCCTTCAGTCAATGTCCCTGTGTGGGGTTTTCCTCACCATGGCGCTTCCAGGCTGTGGGCAAGTGGGAGACAGGCACGCGCCGCCGACGCATTTCAACTTGCGCAATTTCAAGCCGGTGTTGGAGAGGTCTGTTGGAAGCAAGCCCCACGGATTGGACTTTTTTGTTACTCTTGCAATAAATAGAAAGGGAAAGGCAGGGCGGAGCGGCGAGATGAATGTTCAACTGAAACAAGTTGTCTTGCAAGCGCCCAGGTCCAGCCCAGCGTGCATGGATGGCGTGGTGGGAAGTGGTTTTCTGAATGAAACGGCGAAGGAGTTGGGTTATGCTGAGTCTGGAGAGGACAGGGTTAAGATGCAGCATGAGAACACAGAGGCAAGGAATAAATGTTGTCTTTTGGGGAGGGGGGCACCAAATGGGTCAGGCCCGAAACCACAGGTTCCAAATGCAATGAACCCTTTCCTAGGATGAAGTTCCTCGTTTTTAATCAGAGGCCAGATGGCGTCCTCTCAGCAATTCTGTAGCAGAGCATTTTTTTGCCTTATTGGGGGATTGGACTAGGCAAACTTGGAGGTCCCTTCCAACTGTAATTCCACCAATGTATGCTGGATAAGGGAAGTGTGCAGTTAAAAAGCCCCTGGATGATTTCTGTGTATAATTTATGGCACAGTGAAATATTGCGTAAGTATTCTGGAACAAGGGTCCTTAAACTTCACACACACACACACACACACCCTCCCCAGGCCCTCTGGAAATGGATGAAAATGACCCACCAGTCACAAAACGGTGACAGAAGGAGATACAGTGGTACATTGGGTTAAGTACTTAATTCGTTCCGGAGGTCCGTTCTTAACCTGAAACTGTTCTTAACTTGAAGCACCGCTTTAGCTAATGGGGCCTCCTGCTTCGCCGCTGGAGCACGATTTCTGTTCTCATCCTGAAGCAAAGTTCTTAACCTGAGGTTAGTACCTCTGGGTTAGCGGAGTCTGTAACCTGAAGTTTCTGGGTTAGCGGAGTCTGTAAGCTGAAGCGTATGTAACCCGAGCTACCACTGTAGTTTGTCACAATCCACTGATAAATAGTGACATCACTTTCTACTGATATCTAATCCATCTTTGGGAATTGCAAAATTCTCTGACACAACATTTTTCTTGCAGCAAGGAGTTCCATAGCTCAGCTTTCCTCAAAGTACAGATACTTGCTCTGGAAGTACTGACAGCCTCCTCTTTGAAGGCAGAGTATGCTCATCCAGAGGCTGTTACATATTTTTCTCTTCCCACCCATACATCTCCAAGTAAATTCTACCCATCTCCTGTAATTTCTTCTCCTATTTCACACTCAATTTCTGTCACCCTCATGCCAGTTTTATTTAACCCCATCTGCTTGCTACGTTTACTTGTTTACTGCTAACAATTAATCACAGAATTGTAGAGGTGAAAGGGACCTCAAGGGTCATCTAGTCCAACCCCCTGCAATGCATGAATCTCAGCTAAAACATTCGGGACTGTTGGCCATCCAACCTCTGCTTAAAAATATCCAATGAAGGATAGACCACCACCTTTTGAGGGACACCATTCCACTGTTCTACCTGAAAAGTTAAGTTTTGCCATTCGGAATAGGTTTGGAGACAGAACAAAATTAACTCCCAACAGGTTAGCACTGGTAATCTGGATTGCATGTACAGTACAGATAAGAAGAAATAATTTGGGAGTTATTAAAAGCAGGTGGTTACATGTTATACTATATTATCTTTTACTTTGTCAGCACTTAACCAAATGTTCTATAAAAAGTGCAAAGCACACATTTCTAGCTTAGAGCTGTCTAGGTTGAAGTACAGAAAAGAAAAACAAGTTAATGCAGAAAAATGTTTGGTTATTTATATACTCCTAATAGTCAAGGCAAGACGATCTTTTACTGTACATCACCCACAGCATCTTCAACGGAACTTCCACTTACCTGGAAGTGAGCTGCGTTAGATTTAGAGTGACCTTTTTCTTCTCTTTTTCAGTACTGAAAATGTTAAGTTTAATTAGCTATTACAGTAGGTTATCATAACATATAAATGACCTATCTATGAATGAGTTAAACATTAATCAATGTAAACATAGTGATAATGTAATATCATTGGTCTTATAATAGGATCAAAATGTTCCTGCAATAAAATGTATGTATTGATTGTATATAGGACTAATGTATATCATTCAATAAGAAAGAGGCTCTACTTTCCCATGAACCTGGGACTTACTTTTGAGTAGACGTTGTTCTATCCATCATATATAGGATCTACAAATTAAAAAATCATAGATCCACTTAATAATAACTAAAATAGACAACGCTATATGTTTTTTTAAAATGCCAGGGTCTATATTGACTGTCATGCTAAAAGCCATTAGGTAGTCTTTTCAACAATATGCACCATAAAACTGTGTGTGTCGGGGGGCTATGTATGTGCAGCCTCTATGAATATTTTTTCACATTGGGAAATTGTGTATAATGATTAGCTATTGGAGCCATCCACTTTGTGGCATGAAAAAACTTACTGCTGAAAGTTACCAAACAGCTATTCAGAAAATCAGGCAGAGAGATAACTCAGCTAAATTTTGTCACTTTGAATATATGCTATGTGTAATTCTTGTTAACTTTAATAATTTAGATAACTTTAATTCATACAGAGCAACTTTTTGTTTGGTTTTTGACAACTATGACAACTTCTAATCCTTCCAAGAAATGCCACTACAGCAATCATTCCTATGCACCGTGTGTATAAGCACAGGTATGAAGCTTCTGAGATATCTCCTGGCAGCAGGTTGGAAAGGCACTAAATTTATCTCCCTCAGAAAGCTGTGTAGGTTGTTCTCAGAAACTGACTTTCTCTAGTAGCATATTATTTATACATAAAGCTTATGGTTTCATTTCACATGTCCAGAAGGAATGGGACGTGTGTTGATAGTTCTAACCAACATACAGTAGTTTTAAATATGTAGAAAAATAAAGGAGATAATTTAATTCTTATTCCCATACTTTAATGCATGCACACATGAATGACAGTTTCCAGACTTCTTCCACATGTTGGCATTATCAGGAAACTAAAATAAAGCCTTTTTGCATGAAGGAGCAGAGCTATGCTGCGAGGATCAGAATTCGTTTTAAATTGTCGCCACGACCTGTGTGGGTCAAAGTAAAACAAAATACAGCAATGTAAACTGTTGTAGGATGGAAAATATGCCCTTCCCCACCCATCCAACTGAGGACACTTAGGGTTGGAGACAGGATTTGCCTCCAGTCAGCAGGATCACATTTGGTTCTGCACATTTAAGTGCCAGGTTTGCCTCCCTAACCTTAGGAATGTTTTTAAGGTTAGGGAGCCAAACCCAGCCCTTGCTCTGGGTGGTTCCACCTCTACAGCAGAGACAGATTATACAGAGACCCACTGCCCTCCTCACCAACTTCTATAGGGAACCCTTCTAGGACTCCACATGTGCACTTCTCAGTGGTAAGCACATCTTTTGTTTGGATGAGATATGAGTGGGTTCTTGCCCTTTCAATAATCCTTGCTTCCAAACAAGATCTCACCTCTCCTCTGAATTAGGAGAGGGGCAGGATCAGTGGTGACCAAAAATGTTGTCCTTGGTAAGAAGCTAAAAAGTAGTAGTTGGACCATCAGACTGTGTGTTATGCAGTACCTTTCTCTGCCAGTAGTAATGGTGGGCATTTTGCTATTTCTGCAGAAAACTACTGTATTGTTTCCGCTCGGCCTCAGACCTGTTTTTCACGATCAACTTGTAAATCACATTGAAACTAGTTTAAAAGCAAAGAGCCTCAGGCTAAGAAAGAGATGACATAACGTTACAGTGGCAGAATGTCTGTACATCACAAAGTAATGAGAAGTAAACATCCTGTCTTTCTCTGTGTGTTTGTTGTATCCCTTCCATTCATGTGATAGGTTGCAGTCTTTACTGCTCAATAGTCCAAGGTGACATTAACGCAGTGGATTCAAGATTGTAAATAAGGTATTTGAGGGAGCACTTTCCCCCATAAGTCACTATGCCTTCAAGTTTGAAACTTAATTTTGTGGGTGTTACATCTGCCCTGGTGTTTTTGCTAGCCATATTGAGCCCAAGCCACAGTCTGCAAATCTGCTTCTTACTATAATTAACAAAAATGTTAGTGCAGGTATAATGCCAGCTGTAGTTAGCTCTAAAACAGAAATGGAGGCATAATGGGAGGAACACACAAACTCATGAGATGCATCCAGTTCCTTAACCATGGCAGAGTTGCATCTGTACCAAACCATAGTTTATGGATGAGGTGAACTGGAGACTTTCCACGTAACACTCATTAGTGGTTTAGCGTGCTAACTCTCAGAATTATACGCAACTTGAAATATAATGTTTTATGTCACTTTTGTATACATAATACAACTTACCATGAAATGGTGTGTATGCACATGCACACACTGGGGCCTAGTGTCAAACAACATCTGTTCTCTGTTTCTGGGCACCTTGATAATACCAGAGTTTTTAGCATAGGTAGAATTTCAATTCAATCCTTGAATTTTTAATGAGATGAGTGCCTCTCTAAATATCCTTAAAGAGTTTCAGGGCATTAAAAATATCAAAATCACAAGTGGTACCATTTGTGCTTTTATGTCTGCCTCCAGAATACAGACACATTCTTCCTTCCTCCTACTACTCACAATGTTATCTATCTGGGGTTTTTCCCCCAACTGAAAACATTTAATGTCTTCAGGATGCCAGAGAGAGGGAGAGGGAGGGAGAGAGAAACACATTATTTTTGGAAAACATGGTTATGAAAAGAAAGGTTGCAGTGATGCAGGTATTTCAAAAGAGAGAGACAAGTACATATTCACACAGCTATAAAGCGAGAGTATATTTAAGCTTCCCTATTTCTTATTACTGTCAATGTAAGTAAAGTGTTAAGAGTTGTGAAATCCTAATGGCCTGGAAACCTCAAAAGAGTTCCACATGGTATTGTGGAATTCATGTCCCTTACATAACAGCTGCGTTTAGTGATCCTAATAATTTGCTTTGGCTCTGTTTCACACACGCTACAGCAACAAACCAGGATTTGTTACCAAGTGTTTTCCAACATCTCTTTGTCATATTCACACTTTAGCTTTGTGGGTGCAAACTTTTTTAAAAAACCAAAGAACTTAGCTCTGTATCTAAGAATATATGATGTTACTTTTTTAATGGTTCAGTAATCTTTAAAGTTTGGTAATCTGTAAGTGGTGAGATTTCTTTAAATGAGCCAATTGATTAGCGAGGCAGTGTTGTCTTATTGATCAAGAAGCTTCTGTGTTCGGAGTTGCAGAGTAGCTGGCTTGTAACTGCTTAAAACTGAATTCTAGCTCCTCACAGCCTCTGCTGAAGAATAGAGTTAGCACTTTTTCATAGCTGTAAAAATGGAAAGTGTTGAGACTATTCAGAAATGGCACAAAATTATTGAATTCATCCTGTCACATGAGACATCTTAGCCCCCCCTCCTCCTGAAACTGGGAATTATAAGTCAACCAGGCATGTGATAGGTTATGAATTTCTGGCACATAGATATCACTTTCCTGACAACAAAATATCTTAATCAGCAAACATCTTTATTTCTGTGCAGGTTAATTTATTATCTGTCACACTTCCTCGCCTTTTGTGCCCTTTATCTTGTGTGGCTGCAAGCTTTTATTTCAGCTCTTGAACAAACCACAGTTCCCCATTACATCTGAACTTGAAGAACTGTGGTTTTCTTAAATGGTGGTTTCAGTTCAGTGCAGTACTGTATTTGAATCTGGGGTATGATCCCAGCTTGTTATAAGAAACTGATACTAAACCAGTTTCCTTAGTTCTGACGTATCAGCAAAACCTTGTTTCTTCCTTGAGGCCAGAGGTGGGGGGGGGGAGCATGTAAATCCAAAGCCAAACTTCTCATTCGACCCATGTTCTTTTTAACATCAAAGTCTACCATCCCACAGTATAAATCCATTACACTTGTTATGATTTGAACAGCATGGTCTATTGATTACCCCCTTTGAGGTTCTGCCCATATGTTTTGTTGTTGTTGCACTTTTTGATGGAATGATAAATAAATAATCATTATATTATTTGGAGGGTGGAGTCAAGAATGACAGCTGCACGTCCCTGCATTGCAGGGGGTTGGACTAGATGATCCTCAGGATCCCTTCCACCTCTACAATTCTGTGATTCTGTTATTCAGTTTAGGGCTGTCGGCGCTCAAGTTAACAAGATTTACTAGAATCTGGCAAGCTGACAGCTGTCACACAGTCAAGTGAAGAACCACCAGAGCTTAAAGCTGAAATAGTATATCCATGTGAACCTTCAGAGTCTACAGATAAGCTGCTTTAGAGTGGCTGGTTCACTTTTTAAAAATGCTCTTGCCTGAGGTTGTTTGAAGGTAGGCAGTATTTTAAGGTAGATTTTCAGGTTTCTTGTATGCGGGCTTAAGCTTTTGCGGGCATGACCCTCAGCTTTCAGGAGAACAAAATATGACAGACAATGGGAGAGAGCAACAGGGAATAGCATATTCCTTTATTTAGTATTACTCAGTAACAGAATCACTGAGATAGTAAATCCTCAAAGCAAGGTTTTCCATCCGGCATGGGTGTTAAGAGAAATAAAATAATCTGATAAACATACAGAATGTACCTGTCTGCTGAGCTATTCTGCTGGAGGATTGTGGAAGCAGACTGTTACAGTGGTGCCCCGCAAGACGAATGCCTCGCAAGACGGAAAAACCGCTAGACGAAAGGGTTTTCCGTTTTGAAGTTGCTTCGCAGGACGAATTCCCCTATGGGCTTGCTTCGCAAGACGAAAATGTCTTGCGAGTCTTGAGATTTTTTTTTCGCTTTCCACCCTATATCTAATCTGCTAAGCCTTTAATAGCCTTTAATAGCCTTTTAGCAGCTAATCCCTAAGCCTTTAAGCCTTTAATAGCCGCTAAACAGCTGATAGCGCTAATAGCGCTAATCCGTCAATGGGCTTGCTTCGCAAGACGAAAAAACCGCTAGACGAAGACTCTTGCGGAACGGATTAATTTCGTCTTGCGAGGCACCACTGTAATTTCATTGCAGTTGTATACTTTGTCTAGCGAAATCAAAGTATAATAACTTGTCCCGTCTACACTATTCATTTAAAGTACTGTAATTCTGATTTAAAGGGACGCGGGTGGAGCTGTGGGGTAAACCACAGAGCCTAGGGCTTGCCGATCAGAAGGTCAGCGGTTTGAATCCCCACAACGGGGTGAGCTCCCATTACTCGGTCCCAGCTCCTGCCAACCTAGCAGTTTGAAAGCACGTCAAGTGCAAGTAGATAAATAGGTACCGCTCCAGCGGGAAGGTAAACAGCGTTACCGTGCACTGCTCTGGTTCGCCAGAAGTGGCTTAGTCATGCTGGCCACATGACCCCGAAGCTGTACGCCGGCTCCCTCAGCCAATAAAGCGAGATGAGCGCCGCAACCCCAGAGTCAGCTACTACTGAACCTAATGGTCAGGGGTCCCTTTACCTTTACCCTTAATTCTGATTTAACTGAATTCATAGAGAATTCTGGGAATTGTAGTTTAAGGGTGCTGACCTCACAGAGCTACAGTTCCCAACGCCCATAACAATCTGCTGGGATTCTTCATTATTGTTGAAGCGGTATAATCATTCTTTAAAGGTAGAGTGTGGATGTGACCATATTATATATTATATAGCATCCATTAGGCATTCTGTCACTATCACTGCCTCTGAGACAGTCATGACACCACAGAAAGGCAAGAGGATGTTGTAGGGGAATTGCCAGGAGAAAGAGCTTTGCAGATGAATGTAATTCAGTCTTGCCCCTCTTATTTCAGAATCTCTGAGATAAATGTCACATACGAGGGTGTCTTCCCTTGTGTTGTAATGAATCTGTACCCCCCCCCCAAAAAAAATCTTGGGTGGAGAGGAAACTCCCACCCCATGCAGACGGCCGGATGATAAAGAGGATCCCCTGTGTGGTAGGTGGAGGGGGTTCCACCTTCACCAGGGGTTTGTGTGGATACACAGCCCCTTCCTTTTGGGGTACTGGTGATCTAGCTGACTTTCTTTTCTGTGCCTGAACGAACTGAGTTGAATTGAATTAACAGACCTCTGCTGATACAGTGGACTTCGCTTTCCTCCCATTGTCACCCCCCCCCAAAAAAAAATCTGCTCTGGGTGGGTCTGCAGGAGCCTGGTGTTATAGCGGAAATTCATTTTGTGAGCAACGGTATGCTTATCTGACATTGGATCCCACAATGTAAAAAAGGTAAACCCTGGACAGTTAAGTCCAGTCAAAGGGGTTGCAGCGCTCCTCTCACTTTCAGGCTAAGGGAGCCGGCGTTTGTCCACAGACGGCTTTCCGGGTCATGTGGCCAGCATGACTAAACGGCTTCTGGCGCAAAGGCAGCAATCCATCCTCATTTGCTTCTTGGCTGTCAAAAAACCTAGCAACTATTTATTTTTATTATTATTTACTGCATTTCCAAATCACTTCCCATGAAGCATGTTGAAACACTTTACAATCTACTAAATCATATAAGACAGATTTATATATATATAAAAACTGTTTAAAACAATGGCATATTCATAACATCTACTACCCAAATCAGATAACAACTGGCATAAAGGTTCTGGAAATCTTGTTGAAAGAGGAATGTCTAGATGATTGGGATGAAACAGGCGTACTGTTTAACATTTAGAAGGGGGATGCCATGAAATTGAATAAAACGTAGATATACAGACTTGCTCTTTGTTTATTTAAACTGAAACTGGAGAAGCAGCCCTCTGTTCTGAAGCCTGTCCTGTGTGGTTTGCCATTTTCCTTGTGCTACATCCAATTTCCATCTAAAAAGCAACGGCATGAGAAACATCGTTAATAAATGATTCAAGAGGTCACTGTGGCCATTCATTCAGACCTTTGACATTGTGTTCTCCATATTGTGTAATCTGTAACACGATGTATCCCATGGGAACACACACACACACACACACACACACACACACTCTTGCAATCACTTAATCACTCCAAATGTTTTGGCCAAGGTTAGTAGCCATTGTAGAATTGGCAGTTTGAGGACAATAATTCAAGATTTCGGAAAGAAAAGTGTTTGATGGATAGGAACGTAATACCTGTCACTGAAAATCAGGCATAACTGTAGATATTCTAAAGAAAAGTAATACTGATTCGCTGAATGACAGCTGAGAAATAAGAAGGTTTTTTTCTCGCCACTGAGGTGTGTTAGTGGAGGGAGAGGTATGGAAAAGTAGTGTGCCATCTTTCCTGAATAGGTTTCAGTTCAAAGCAAGAAATTATTTGCAGAGCATGTGGCAATAGCTGAGGGTTTTTAATTGTAGGATGCTATTAAATGCCAGTCCAGAATACTGCATTAATGGGAGACAAATTGAGCTTGTAATTACCTCCTTCACAAATTTCAATTGGTAACATGAAAACACTTATTTGACTTGGGATAAAGGTTTTAGAACTCAGAGGAACTTTTCAAAGGGACAATGCCAAGAAAACAGCATTTTGCAGTTCAAGGGCTAACATGTTTTCTGGTACTAGCCTATTATTTAAAAAATGCTTCTATAATTTCAATTTGAAGAGGATAATGCTCTGCAGTTCCTAAATGAGATGGAGTTTGAATATTTAACATTTCCTAGGGTACAGTTCACAGGTTACATGTTAATGTGGTCTCATTGTACAAGATTCAGCTAGTGAAACCTGTGTAAGGACTTCCACTTGCACAATGGACTTCTTCTCCTTTCCCTGCATGCCCCTTAAAATTGGCTTGGAGTTGTCAGGAGAACCCCCAAAATAGTGCTCGGAGGGAAGGAGGCATTGTTCTGTCTGGGAAGTTGAAAAGCTTATTCTGACAGAACAATTGCCATGCTGAATTCCTTTGGGAGGAACATTTAGCACTAATGTGCAGGGTCTGGGGATTCCATGAGATGAACTGTTAGTAGAGGAAGATCATTTCAGCTTGTATGTCTAGCTGAGACTTGGTGGAATGACTCCCATTATTTGGAATATAGCAATTGAAAGGAAAAAAATATATGGGGGCATGAGGCAATTGCTACATTGACGGTAAGGTTAAGGAAACACGGAAAGTATAATGACCGGACGGTTGGAAGCTGGTTGAGTAGTATATGAACAGAGAGCTTGGGCTACAAGTAATGAATGTAGGTTACATACTAATATAATTTAATAATAATGAAATAACATTTTTATTCATTTATCTCTTTTTCACTTCTGTAGCACTGGAGGTTTTAAAACATAGGCGTTTATAGAAGATTTTTTAAAAATAAATTCAGATGCAGATGTATTTGGAAATTCAAACAAACACACTTGGACTAACCCAAATAGTTTTGTATGTACCTAGGATTTTTAGTCTGTTGCTAGGTTTCCAAAACGTTTGCCTCATTTAAAACAGCTTCTCTTTTCAGTCTGCTCTTCTCTGGAAGATGTTTGTCTGTAATAACCTGTGCTAGTAAAAAAGCTAAAGCTGATTGCCCAATAGCTGAGTGGGAGATTATATAACGATTAATTTTGGGTTGTTTTTAATTGCTTTGCTAAGCATGTTGTAGTAAACCAAACAGCTGCCAGTAAATCAAAATGACCACATTAATTAATTAATTCCTTGTTGTCCCCTCTTGCTTCTCATGCTGTCAGAGCTAAAATGTTTCCTTTCTGAATACAAATACCCTTTGAACAGAGGATAACTGTTCCTTGCTATGAAGAGCATAGAGGGTTTTATATTCCCGGTTTCTTCTGCCTTTATCTAGATAAGCGAAAATATTCTAAGTATTTATAAATCCAGCAATGTTATGATCTTGTCTAACATGGGAGTGATGGATGGTGGTGACTGGTACCCAGCATAGCATGTGGGACCTAATTTAATGAAGTGTTCAGTGTTCTTGTTAAGTGTTCCAGTTAGTCATAGAATCGTAGAGTTGGGAGGAACCCCGAGGGTCATTTAGTCAAATCACCTGCAATGCAGGAATCTCAACTAAAGCATCAGTGACAGGTGGCCATCCAACCCTTCCCTTTGTTTTCTGTCAGACCTTCTCCCCAAAATCAAGAAATTCAGCATTCTGGAGCTACTGAGCATACCAAGTCCTTCTGAGGATGTCTTTAGGGTTTTCCCCTTAACTGTGTCAGTAAGGCTTACTTATGGGTGTGTGTGCGTGATATTTATTACAGCCTAAGACACGCTCACATTCTTTCATTGTCCCTTAGTTGGTTTTGGGGATTGTTTGCACCTTGAATTCAGTTTGCTTTTTCAAGTGCAGGCATGTTCAATATATTGTTGGCTGAGCACAGTCATTTTGAAAAGATTGAGGGCATATATTGTTCCTTTCAAAGCAAGAACAATCTCCCCTGGCTGCACAGTTTGCTATATTATCAACAACTGCATCTTGTTTAGATCTTTTATCTTTGGTGTGTACAATCACATAGACAGCCTGACTCTTAAAATGCAGGTACCTTAAGCAGTCTGGACAGAAAAGTACCTGACTTCACTCTCTCACCCCTAAGAGTCAAAATTGTCAATTTGTTGTTTTCCTGAACGTATCTATATTAATTGTGAAAGTAATTTTGTTTGTAACTCAGGAAATTACAAGTGCAAGAAGAAAAGGATTCCTAGCTGAACACGCTGCCCCATTCTCTGCATTCTTGACGGATGGCTTTGGTCGTCAGCATAACTACTTAAGGATCTCCTTGACTGAGAAATGCAACCTCAGGTGTAAGTCCCTTAAGTTTGAATAGGATGCGAGTGGGGCAGTATTGTTTGACTCCAGCTCCCATCAACCCCAGCCAGCACAGCTTCTGCTCAGGCATGATGGGAGTTGTATTCCAGCAAGTTCTGGAGAGCTGCGGGTTCCCCTTCGCTGGAATAGGATCATGTTCCTGAAGATGTGTTTTCATGAGGTAGTTTTACCGGGCATGTCTTCAGCATAGTTGGACTCTTCTTACATACATTACTTATAGCAGCAGGGTTGCCACCCCAGAACCACTTTACTGTTGTCGACTATTATTTTGCATAAACAAACAAACAAACCCCTGTGTTGCAAAATATGACTCAGCAAAATCGAAAGCAACACAATGGCCAGAAACAATTACAGTATAGAAAACTTAATGGAATAATGCAAAACATCAAAACTATCAAACTAAAGTCTCTATAAAATCTCTCTATAAACTCATGCGATTATGTAGTCACTGTTCAACAGTGACTACATAATCGCATGAGCACTGTTCCAGAGTATTTTTCATTCTCATGGATATTATATCTGTTTGGGAAAAAGATTGGTTAATGAAGAAATTACACATCTTTCTACTTACGAGTTTTTGTTGAACTAATTGGCTGGTGAAGAACGGAACGAAACAGTAGTTGCTATCGGAAACACTGTTCAGCAGAGTTCAGAGTTGGACATCAGAATTGGACATTTGCCGATTATACAAAGCTTTACAAGCTTGATCTCTGCCGGGTAAAGTCTGGCACCGTGACTTATTCAAGGACTTTCAGAGACTTTAGTTTGATAGTTTTGATGTTTTGCATTTTTCCATAAAGTTTTCTATACAGTGGTACCTCGGGTTAAGTACTTAATTCGTTCCGAAGGTCCATACTTAACCTGAAACTGTTCTTAACCTGAAGCACCACTTTAACTAATGGGGCCTCCTGCTGCTGCCGCGCCGCCGGAGCACGATTTCTGTTCTCATCCTGAAGCAAAGTTCTTAACCTGGAGCACTATTTCTGGGTTAGCAGAGTCTGTAACCTGAAGCATATGTAACCTGAAGCGTATGTAACCTGAGGTACCACTGTACTATAATTGTTTCTGGCCATCGTGTTGCTTTCGATTTTGCTGACTATTATTTTGCGGCAGTTAATACATGTAAGTGGCAACCACAATGGGCAGCTTGGGTCATGGAATAGGGATCTCCTGCGAAGCATTGCTTCACGAAACACTTTTCTTTCTTTCAGTTCTATTTTATTCTTCCTGTTTATTTAGCAATAGTTACCTTTGTCTGTTTTTTGTTTTGTTTTGTTTTTTGCTTTTTGTTCATTTGCTGCATGTTTCAGGTCAGTACTGTATGCCAGAGGAGGGAGTCCAGCTCACTCCAAAATCTGAACTGCTGAGCACCCAGGAGATAATCACCCTCGCTAGGCTCTTTGTGAAGGAAGGTGTGGACAAGATCCGATTAACCGGAGGAGAGCCTCTCATTCGGCCTGATGTGATTGACATCATAGGTATGCTCCTCGTATAGTTTTGTTATGCGATGTTCATGGGATCCTCTTGTTTACAAAGCATGGTTTAGAACAGTGTGGAAGATGCTACCCGCAGTGCTTTAAAAATAAGGCAGATCTGTAGGAGCTTTGCTGTATACAAAAGGATGGAATTACAGCCGTTCTGTCAGCTTTGTCCTCTTCTTTTGTATCTCAGTGGATTTCTTTTTCTCATCTTCAGACATTTCTGAAAGTTAGCAATGTATGACTATTATGAAATACCGTATTTTTTGCTCTATAAGACTCACTTTTTCCCTCCTAAAAAGTAAGAGGAAATGTGTGTGCATCTTATGGAGCGAATGCAGGCTGCACAGCTATCCCAGAAGCCAGAACAGCAAGAGGGATTGCTGCTTTCACTGTGCAGCGATCCCTCTTGCTGTTCTGGCTTCTGAGATTCAGAATTTTTTTTTTCTTGTTTTCCTCCTCCAAAAACTAGGTGCGTCTTGTGGTCTGGTGCGTCTTATAGAGAGAAAAATACGGTACCTGAGTGTGCGAGAATAGCTCTCCTGCAATATTTGCTTCCTAAGAAAACGGCATCTTTCAAAATCTTTTGCACACACTCCATTTTACACCTTCTTAGTTTTACTTTGCATGTTATATTAATCCTTAATAGATATAATTTCTGCATAGGAAAAGTGTGTACAATGGCAGTGTCAAGTGCAAGCCACTTTCTTCAGTGCAGTGGTTGTCCCACCAATGTAGGCACTGAAACCCTACATCACAGTTTGTGTTTTACTTTATGTGTGTTTTTCCTCCAAAGTTAAAATGTCCTTGGCTAATGGAGCTAAGGTGGTTGAGCTTTGCATGCAGAAGGCCCCAGGTTAAGTCCCTCCAGTATCTCCAGTTTAAAGGACCAGAGAGCAGACTGCCTGTGATCCTAGAGCAGTGGTGGCCATACTTGGCCCTCCAGCTGTTTTTGGACTACAACCCCCATCATCCCTAGCTAACAGGACCAGTGGTCAGGGATGATGGGAATTGTAGTCCCAAAACACCTGGAGGGCCAGGTTTGGCCCTAGAGGGCTGCAGCTGGTCAGGGTGGGCAGTATGGGAGTAATAATCTGATGTGGAATACAGAGTTTCCTATGTGTCATCCAAGATCATGGGTGATAAGCAGGATGTAGGTGGTAAATTGTTGTTGTCTTTCCAAGATGACTAGGATACAAAAATTGACTTCCAAATATTTATTTAAGAGTGTAGTGTGTGATAAGAACCAATGTCTGAAAGTCTTATTGTATTTATTTTTTGCAAGTGCTACATTTGCAAGACAAATAGAGTGGGGTGGGGTATAAATATAAAAATATGAATATAGATATAAAAGTAAATATAATAATAATAATAATAATAATAATAATAATTTTTAAAAAAATGTATGATGCAAGCATTTGACTGTTGTTTTCACCCCCTCCCTGGGTTCCTTGTTTTGTCTTATACCCATTGACCTGTTGTTACTTATTCTTACTTATTTTTGTTAATATTCTTTTTCTTTACTATGTTTTCCCAGCTCAGATGCGCAAACTAGAAGGGTTGCAAACCATTGCTGTCACGACCAATGGTATTAACTTGGCCAGATTGTTGCCCCGGTTAAAGGAGGCCGGCCTGAATGCCATTAACATCAGTTTGGACACCTTGGTCCCAGCAAAATTTGAATTCATTGTCCGTCGAAAAGGTATACCTGGACGCTTGCTGTGATTTCCACCATAATGTTTTTTAGCATTTCCATTGTTATATCCTGCATAGTTTCTGTCTGATTACAAAATGATGTCAAATGGGGAACGAAGGCTGACCATCTCTGCCATCTCTTTCACAGTCAGAACTCCCTTTTTATTGCAGCCCACTGTATAGAAATGAATATTCAGGAATTAATAATCAGATAGCTTGCTGTTTGTGTGACTCATACTTTACTTATTTAGCAGAGACAGCATGCTACAACTGAGAAGGCTTGTAATCTACATTAGACAGGGCAAACTGAGATAAAAGGAAAAAGGAAAGAGCTTTATAAAACAATAGTAAAAAGTAGTTAATTGGCATTGCTTAATGTGGAACACTGGTGGTTTCAGAAAGACTCTGCTGATTTTTATTTTAAGAAAAGGGGGGTTATGGCAGGTAGCTTGATAAATAGTTGGCTAAAGTTTGACAAATAGTTCCATCTTAAAGAAGGAATGGCAAAGAAGACCCCAAGGAGCTCACAGTAAAGCAGAGTCCCACAAAGAGCAGAGAACAAGGAGAACTATAAATGACGTTGCAAATTCAGTGCCATCCAGGTTTTTCATGCTACAGATCCCATCAGCCCTTTTAGTCCAAAACATCTGGAGGGCATTAGGTTGGAGAAGGCTGCCTTAAATGGCAAGAGCAGGAAACATGGAATTGATGTGGAAAGTCAAGAGAACACATATAGAGACCTAAGGCAAGGTGTGTTGTTGTCTTAGTAAGAGGTGAAAAAGGGATGGATTGTCAACGAGACTGAGATGAGATAAGGATGTTCAGTTCAGTTGCTTCATCTGTAGTTCATAACAGTAACAGTATAGCAGCTGAAACCAAAACCAATATTAAAATCAAGTCCCATTAGTATGGGGTATCAATTAATGACATGTCAAATATCCAATTTACAATCAACTACATATGCATTAAATATGTTTATTGGCATCTTGAATCAGCCTTAGCCATAATTCAGGTGCTTTTGCTGAAATTGACCAGTGTTCATGCTTGTAGGAATAAAGCACCAAGGAACATATTCTGCACATTTTCATAATGGGTCCACAGAACATGGAGTGTGGAATGCCTTCCATTGCTTCCTCAATGCAGATGCAGTACCTTAAAAGGCTCGTTATAATACTGCTAATGGGGGGAAAGCCACTTGTTGAAATGTCAACAGCTGTTCTCTGCTCAAACCTAAATCAATCAATTGGATGTTCAAGGCCACCGTTGATAAAATAATAAAATGCCATTGTTGAATATCAGGGTGTTTTATTATTAGCCGATAAAACTAAATTATTCTGGGAAAAAATACTTTAGCTGGTTATAAATCCCAACTTGATGATGGCTATTCTAGAATCTAACACACACACGTGGCCCAAAAATACGCTTGCCAAGACATCATACAGTTGGCTTATTTTCCAGGGCTATTTCACAGAAGTGAGAAACCCTCTGACCCCCATATTATAATGGTAGGGCCTCAGCACTGAATAGAAATGAATGCATTCCCCTGCCTGCCCCCCAAAGGTGCCAAGAATGTGCTCCTTTTTGTGAGGCTTAAATGGTCCTGCAAAATTGGGATAGAAGCCTAGAAGTAATGTTCGCATATTTTCCTGTGGGGTGATTACAGCAGATTTTTCAGATATAAGTTTGGAAGGTTTAACTTAGAAAAAGAAGAAGAAGCAAATGGCAATTTGAGCCATTTGGCAGTAGTGGCAGGAAACAGGAATAATATTGCTTCAACAGAGCCTGTCACATGCACAACAACTCTGAAGCCAGACTTTGAATGGCAAGCTTGTTCCAGTTTTCAGCCTGTTCTTTAGAGATGAAATGTGGTTCCATAGCCACTAGATGGTGCCCCAATATCGTTTTAATCAAATGTACACTTTAAAAAAAAATCCAATAAAAAGTGTCTTTAATAGGTTCAAGATGTTAGTACATTTCCTTTTCGTTTCTAAATATGGATTGTGCTATGTTTGGGAATCTCTGCAGAGATGTGAGAGGCTGACCTTTACCTACATATGATAACATATCAAATTATAGAAATCGTTGTGTAGGTCTGCTAAAACCAACATGGAAATCTGCAAATCCAGTGCAGTGCATCCTATTCGGTGTAATGCCCAAGGCAATTGTGACTTTACCAACGCTTTGGACAGAGATTCATAGTTTGGTCATGTAACCGGATTCGGTCAGCGACGATGCCTTCTGTGAACATGCAAGGCATTAAGATGATGGGGGCTGCTGAGCTCAGAGACAAACCTCTTCCAAGCATTTTGTAAATGAACAAGATGTAGTGATGGCCACAAACTCTGAAAGAGGCTTTAAACACATTCAGTTGAAACAGAAAAGTCTCTTAATGGCTGATAGCCAGAATGGCTATATGCTATTTCCAGGACCAGAAGCGGTGTGCCTCTACATACCAGTCACTAGGGGGGCAGCAGCAGGAGAGGGCTACTTCCCCATGCCATGCTTGTGGGCTTCCCAAAAGGCATCAGGTTTTGATTCCTGTGAGGAACAAGATGCTTGGCGTGATGGGTCTCTGGTCTGATCAGATGGACTGCTCTTAGGTCCTTCGTCTCACTCTCAGTGGAATGTCTGGGAAGGAAAATTCAAGCTTGACTGAGCTTATTCTCTGCAGAGGAATGATCTGTCCAGATGTCAGGCTATCTCTTTGCAGATCATCCCTGACATGCCCATTAGGAAAACAAGTGAGCTGGTATGAATTGCCTAGATGTTAGTTTGTGGTTGCCTTAACGCTTGATCGCTTGTGTTCCAATTACTTGGTTCTGAATTGTCTTATGACTTTCCTAAAGTCATACAAATGGCCCCTTTCTTTCCTGACCTTTTTCTAAGCCTTTCCGTAAGGGTCTTGTTCCTGAGAGTAGCTCCTCAGTGTTTATCACCATATGTTATACTTTCAGGCGCCATGTTATTTTTGCAGTCTTATTTTATCAAAATAAACCTTACATTCGATGTCGTAGGTTTTCTTAGTCACAGGAAGCAGAAGCAACAAACCAGTTTTGGCATCAGGCAACTGATGTGATATTCCAGTTTGTTTATTTAAACCTTATACCTCAGTCTTTGCCAACCTGGTGCCCTCCATATGTTTTTGGACTACAATTCCTATCAGATATGCTAATGGGAGTTGTAGTCCAAAATATCTGGAGGGCACCTGGTTGGCAAAGGCTAGTATACATTTTGCCAGGCTTCTTTGCCATTTCACTGTGCTATTGCTCTCATCTCTTGGGAGAACAGCATCTCTCAGTCCCCCTGACCAGCCCTGGGAGGTTGGTTTTGTGGTCTCAGTGTGGGCTTAGCTTATATTTTCAAATAGCAGCCCATGCATTTATCCCAGCTTTTCTCCCAAAGGAGCTCAGGGTAGGAAAGATCCATGGCATGCGACAACTGCTTTTAAAACTCGGGAAAGTTTCAAAAGCAGTTTGGGAAATGTCTGGGTGAGTAGGCACATCTGTTCAACAAACATAAATAACTTGTGTGGTCAGTGTCCAAACTTGCCAGAAGTGATAGCTGCTGATTACCTGAGCAGAGCAGCCTTTCCCTATCAGATGGAAAGTACAGTGGTACCTCGGGTTACATACGCTTCAGGTTACAGACTCCGCTAACCCAGAAATAGTGCTTCAGGTTAAGAACTTTGCTTCAGTATGAGAACAGAAATCGTGCTCTGGCGGCGCAGCAGCAGCAGGAGGCCCAATTAGCTAAAGTGGTGCTTCAGGTTAAGAACAGTTTCAGGTTAAGAATGGACCTCCGGAACAAATTAAGTACTTAACCCGAGGTACCACTGTAACTGATTTGGCTGTTTGATAACAACCATAATCTGCCACAAAAATACAGATTGTGAACTGTTGGGAAGTTTTATGCTACCCTTGACATCAAAGTCATATAGTTTCCCAATATTGGGTTTTTAATGTCAGAAGACAGACGTTATGTGTTTGACTCTAACTGATTTTTTTATTGAATTCAGTTTATATTTTAAGAAACAACCCCATATATATGTGTGTGTGAGTGTGTATCTTATGTGTATAGTATATGTATATGAATGTGTGCATTGCATGTGTGTTTATATTTAGAAAAAAATACTTTTCTATGTCCTGTGTCAGAGCTTATTTTTGTTTATATTTTAGGTTTCCATAAGGTAATGGAAGGGATCCAAAAAGCCCTTGAACTTGGGTATGATCCTGTTAAGGTGAGAATTATTATCTTCTTGATACAGGTTTTTGGCTGGTATCACTGTTGCTGAATAAAAAATGGAAACACAACTGAGTGTGGAGGTTCCATCCAGATAATTGAGTTCTGAAATAAATTCTTAATACCCAACTTTAGGGTTTTCTTTAAAGAAACAAGTAATGGAAAAAATGGTTCTTTTGCAGTGATAATCCTTCTGAGCTTTTATATTGATCGCCACTTATTCTGTGATGTGCATGATGTTGACATATTCAGTTTAGTTAGCTGGCTTTTCCTTCCTCCTAGGTGAACTGTGTAGTTATGAGAGGTCTTAATGAAGATGAGCTGGTAGATTTCGTGGCTCTGACCGAGAAGCAGCCCCTGGATGTGCGCTTCATAGAATACATGCCCTTTGATGGTGAGCATTTAAGCACCCCTGGCTGTACTTTGGCTGAGAAAATGGATGATGCTGAATTGAGCAATTCCCACTTTTCCCGAAGTTGGTGATGGGATGTTGACCGAGGACAGGTCTACAGCTTCTGTGGCCTTGAGAGCTTTCTTGTTTGGAAAGGAGATAAATGAAATTCTGGGGAATGTTTTATTTTGTGTCTTTCTGTGTGATCCTAGACAGAAAATAACACGTCAGAAAATAAGCCTTCTGTTGCACTCTCACTGCCGCGCATGTTGCACAGCAATATTGGTTCTCCTCTCATTCTAGGCAACAAGTGGAACTTCAGGAAAATGGTGAGCTATAAGGAGATGCTCGATACGATCAAGCAGAAATGGCCAGAGCTGGAAAAAGTGCCTTGTGAAGAAGCCTCTAGCACTGCTAAGGTGATTAATGCAGTAGGGTCAAAGGGAGCCCAGAAGTTTTGCAAAGTTCAGGGCTTGCTTATAAGCCTGCTATGTCAACACCAATGCAATTAGCTCTTGAAGGGAAAATTGAAATGGCTGCTATGGTCCTGGTAGATGCCTGCCCACATACTTTCAACAGTTGTGACAGTCATGATTAAAGGATTATGATATAGGAGAGAGTCTGCCCGCTAAAATGAAACTGACTGTGGGAGGATAGAGAATGACTTAACTCTTTCCTTTGGATATGTAAATATAATGTTTTTCCTGTAAAGTTATAAAAGTTTTAGGAATAGATGCAGCTGCGTACATGTGAGTCTACCATGTTCATATGGTGTACCTATAGCAAGAGCCTATTCTTGCCACATGTAACTCATATTTTGAAACTGTCTGGGAAAGCCATGTGTGAAGCCGTCCTCAAGATTGCTTCATGTGTGACAAACGTCTTCCAGGGCAATGACTTCAATGAAGGAAATTACTTGTGATTTGTTTTTAGATCATCCTGTGATAATTGCATATGCTCATATTCTGTTTATGTCTTTATATTTTTTAATGTATTTGGGGTTTGTTACTAGCTTCCATTTTTCCAAATACTTAAAACCAGGTAGCAATGCTTTCCTCCCTTCCACTTCTAGGATGGCCATTGTGGCTAACTCCTCTCCTTTCACATAAAATGGAAAGCTAGCCACTATATTTCCAGCTGTCTGAAATTTAAAGAGGCCGTCTGAAAAAAACCAAAACATTGGTGCACATATAGCATAGGCTTGCTGGCAAGTGAACAGGAGAGAGTCCAGTTTAGTTGGAGGCCCGGCTCTATTGCTTACTAAACCTCACATTTAAATTATGTGATTTGGAATGTTTAATTGGCTTTTCATTTGAAATGTATAATTGGATTTATTATTTGAGTTATGATTTATGATTTGGTATGATTTGATTTGTTGTTAATTGGAATATTATTAATGAAAAATTAATAAGACATTATTTACAAAGAAAAACAAAAACCAGGTAGCAGTGAAGAAAAGTGAAATGTTTTTTAAGACGTGGAAATCAAGCATGGAGAAAATAGAAATCCTATCAGAATTATTAATAGCAATAGTGCTTCATAGGCTGCAATTCGTAAAGTATGAACCTCAAGGATTTCCAGGAAGGGATTTCGCACAGGAATCTTTGTAGGTTTGCTGGGAAATCAACATCTTGTTGATGATGTCCATTACACATTGCGAGTTTTATGCATGTATTTTGTTGCCTTTACATGTGTATAGATTATGGAAACTGATTTTTCAGAATTTATACACTTGACCAAGCCCAGTTGTTATACATGATCTACAGATGGTTACTTTCCACACCAAACTTTGTCCCTTTGAACAAGTTTTAAAGTAAACATCATCTCGTCACATTTTGCTGAAATGCCGCCAACGATCTGTTGTGGAATCTTCCGTTTGCATACATATTGGAGCAAAACTTGCACAACCAGATTTTGCAGGAAAATTTTGGTATGAAGATAAGAAGCTCCATAATTCTGGCAGCTACTCTTAATCAGATGTGGCTATACATAGTGAAAGAGTGATACAGCCATGAAGAGTGAACTGTTCATTTTTCAGCATTGGTTTTACACATATGTACTGAACAATTTTTCAGTTCGTAGTTAGATTTCCTTCTGGCAACTTATCTTGGATTTAGCCTGTGCAGTATCTTCACCTCTTCAGTGGTGGAGGAAGGGGAGTGCGGGGGCTGCAGGCCACCCCGGGTGTCATCACTGGGGAGGGTGTGTGAGAAAATGACAAAAATATGAGGTTTTTTTAAAAAATGGGCTCATGAAACCTTTTAGTTCAGTCAACAAACATAATGAAACGCAGCTGGCACTGGGCGCCACACCACGGGGGCTGGCACTTACTGCGGGGCCTGCAGTGTGCCCAAGCCACGCGTCTCTCCTGGGAGTGACATGGTGGCTTGCCGCCTGCAGGCTCCACGCTGCCTAAAATGGCAGCGTGGGACTTGCGTCTACCCTCCGCCTCTTCTTCAGCTGCCCTACAGCTGAAGGGGAGACAGCAGAGAGGCTCCATGCAGTGCGCCCTGCCCCCAAATGCAGGATGCGCATGCCACACCCAGCGCCTGAGCGGCTAGCTATGCCGCTGCATCTCTTACTCCAGTTTTCATTAACTGGAATAGGACGATGCTGAAGCCAGTTAAGTAAGATATTAACGAAGATGTGCTTCACCTTTTCTCTCTGTTTTCTCTTTCTCAATCCATGCCTGGGTCACAACAGGCATATAAGGTGCCGCATTTTCAGGGACAAGTCAGCTTCATCACCTCAATGTCTGAACACTTCTGTGGATCCTGTAATCGACTGAGGATCACAGCTGATGGAAACTTGAAGGTAGGAGCACGATGTTATCCACCAGCTTCATCTGGGCCGTTAGAGTGCTTACATGATTATATTACCTGCATCAAGTGCGCACAAAGTTGTCATTGCATCCAAAAGGGGCCAGAAGTCATTGGATGATTGCTGCCTAGTTAGACTCAATTGGTAAATCAAATAAAAGTCCCTGTTGGATCCTACTGTAGATTTTTGTTTTGCTGTTGGAAAGAACAACTGTGTCTTTTTCCTTGGCTGTCAGTGTTGCAGAAACTGCCTTGTTTTCATAATGCAGCATATTTGAGCTGTTAAACTAATTGGTGAGAAGTCTCTGAAGATAAACACATTGTGTAGTTTTTTTATGTTAAATCCTCTTAAATTGGCAGCAGGAATGCTACTCTCGGTAATGTGACTGGGAGGGTGTGGGTTTTCTTCTTTGCCAGTATCCAGTTTCATTGCAGAACTCTGCCTGATCTGTCACATCAGACATATGTTGCCCAGACTGAATTGGGGGTGGGGGGCTAGGAGGAAGAACGCTTCCTGCCACGTTATGTTTCCATGTTGTGTTTTTAAAATTAGCTTTCAATTAAATATTGGCACTTCCCACCCAGCAATGAAAGCCTTGCTTCCTGATCCCCGCCCTCCAAAATTTTCTGCAGTTGAGAAAGTGATGGTTATTGCCTTCAAATGTCCCTTTGACTACCAATCCCCACATGGGTTTTAGTGTTGGAATGGACAGCTGATTCACTTTTGGGCAGAGTATAATTAAAGACGGATCTGGAGATAAAAACCTTTTGAGGATGTTTTCATGCCATCAGAGTTGATGCATCCAGGCAAGCAGGTTTATATGATTCTCTCTCCTCTCATCCTTTTTTTACAGGTGTGCCTTTTTGGAAATGCAGAAGTGTCCTTGCGAGATCACTTACGATCTAATGCCTCAGAAGAAGAATTGGTTCAAATCATTGGGGCAGCTGTTGGCAGGAAAAAGAAACAACATGCAGGTATTTTGTTTTACGATTCCAAGTTGTATAGGCTGCATTGTGCACTTCATTTAAGAGCGATTGCATTGCCATAGTGCCTAATAAAATATATGACCATAGGACTTTATCTATGTCTCCATCTATTTCTGTCTGTCCTGCAGTCCTACTATTTTTTTTTAGCATGAGAGGATCCTGTTTTTATGTTGAAAGTGTTAAGTGCAATTTAAGCGGCTGCTGGTCACATTATTTACCTGGTCACACATTTTCCACCTAATTTTTAGTCCCACGTAGCAACACAAATACAGCTGGTTATGCTGTAACAGTGTGAAAGTTTCAATTGTTGCAAATTTGTATTCATGAATTTTCCTGTGTTTTAGTAGTTGCTCGATTTGCCTAGTAGGTGGCAAATAAATGCTACTGTTGACCCAGGGATCTGGAAGCCTGGAGTGGTAGACAGGCAGAGTCAAAAGAAACAATATGTGACCTCTATTTAACCAGGAATAGGGGGTCCATTTTCCTTTCTTAGCAAAGTTTTTTTACACCTTCATGCCTTTTATTGTCTTATTGTCAATGAAATGACACCAGAGCCCTAGGAATCATCCAGAATTCTGCCGCCAGAAGACCCAAACCTTATTATAGTTGTTTCTGAGGTCAAAGGTGAACCTCTGTAGGGAAACATTGATAATTCTGAGGCACATGTCTGGCTTTGCTAGAGCCCTGCCATTTCAGGTCCTGTTGTGCCAGTCTACCTTCTAACCCAATCCTTCTCCACTAGTTTGCTACAGGAATCTGGCTGCCCATTTCCCATGCGAACTGTTTAACATAAGTTCTGCTTCAGGAGGTTCAATCTGTTTCCTTTTTCGCTTGAGGGGGGTGTTAAAGAAGCCCATTTATTGGGATGAATTCTTCATCTCTGTGCTTCCGAATACTTTTTCCTTATCGGGACCGACTAACTAGATGTCTATGCTATTCCTTGCACTTTTCAAGTATTGTTTCCATTTACAATACAAAGCCAATATGACTTAAAATTCTCAGCATCCTCTAATTCTTGTCTATCTATTCTTTATTTATTCCCAGGCATGTTCAACATTTCCCAGATGAAGAACAGACCAATGATCCTCATTGGTGGGTGACCAAGCAGTACGTAATAAACCATATCACAGTGCTGTATTTACATTTGCCCCTTGGGGAAAGAGTCAGTCTTTTCCTAGGCTAAGTGTGTTTGAATTTTTAAAGAGGTGTACAAACAGCTTTTAAAAACAGCTCACAAGGAGAAATTGCATGTTACTTGGCAAAAACTCTTGTGATCTCCTTGGCCGTTCACTTCCACCTTTTGCTGAGTGTACAACTTGTTTATTCACTCTCATGGGAGTTTATGAGCTGCCTGTCTTTTTCTCTCCATAGCCTGTAGGTAAGCAGTTTATAGTGAAGGGGTATCTCATTCTCCCTGTGTTCTTCTCAGCTGCTTTAAAATTGGGCGCATTGCCAGAATTGCATAGTTGGGATTCGGATAACTTGGGAACAGGAACAATTAGCTACCAGCACTTCCACAGCATGGGAGAACTATGTGGTGAGCCAGTATTCATCCACTGGCGCTCTATTGAGATAGGTTTGGGGACTTGCCTGTAATTCAACAAGACGTTTTGGGGAGAGCGAAGGAAGTTCGATGCAAAGATGGGACCCCTCTAGCTGGCTTTGGAATGGCAGGCAGGCTGCCTACAGTCTGTTTACGTAGCTAAGAGCTGGATTGAGTCTGACAAGCGTGCATTCAGCATCTCGGGAAAACTAACCACTGGCATTCTCTGTACAAACAGTCTGGTTTCTGTGACCAGAGTTGAGCCAGCTTTGTCATGACACGCAGGCTAGCTGAGGCATATGGAGAATGACTAGAAGGGCCTCCTAATTTGGACTTCAGGCTGATTGCATGGTTCCCCCAAAGTCAGATAGCATATAAACAGGCAGAAGGAAGTGGTTGGAGAACACACCAAGGAGGTGTTGAGGGAATGTAGCCTCCACTGCCACTGAGTGCTGTGCAAAGAATTAGTTGTGCTGCTCTGCTGCCTTAGCATATTTCTTACTAAGAAATATGTTTGGCAATTGCAAAAAGCGAAGTATAAGATCTATATAGCATAGACATCAGTGAGAACTGTGAGTTGGCAGCACTGGATTCTAGAGCACAGAGACTGTCTTTTTAAGCCCCTCACTGTCATTTAAGCCCCTCAGAGCTTGCAGGGCAGCAGCTGAAGAAGGTGCAAAAAGGTTTGCAGTTTGATCCATCTTTTAGATTTAGGGGAGCTAGTCTCAAACGTTTGTTGGGGGAGAACTAGGTTTTTTTGGGGGGGAGCTATTTGTCCTGTCTTCACGCTTTTTATGATGGAGGACCGCTGTAGCCACCCACAACGACACGTTCTCAAGATGGAGGGGGAGGGAACAGCTGCAGTCGCCTGCGGTTCCTGCGCAATGTTTGCCATCTTGCCAAAGGTTGCTGGCAGCTTTACCTGCAGCAATTGCATGTTGATTGCCTTCTTAGAAGACAAAGTCCAGCAACTGGAGGAACGTGTAGCTACGCTCCAAAGAATTAGAGAGCTGGAGCTCTTCTTGGAAGCAACAGAGCACACCGTCTCCACCAAGGAGGAGACAGGGGACTCCCCTGAGAAGGAGGCTAGTTCACCAACACAGGAGCCAGATATATGGAGAAACGTGACTCAAAGAAGTAGGAGGCCCAGGGTTCGCTCTGATTGTTTAGAAATACACAATCGCTTTGAGGTCTCCTCTCCCCTAGCATGGAAGACGAAGAGCAGACTCCATTTGAGGATCTCTCCCTCATTACAGTCGATCAGGTATATGAAGACGAGCAGCAAAGTCAGTCCTCAGGGAATGTGCAGGCGACCTTGGAACGGACAGCTCACGGAAGAACCCCGACCAAACCTAAGAGGAGGCGTGTAGTGGTGATAGGGAATTCCCTACTGAGGGGAACAGAAGCAGTGATCTGTGGGCCTGACAAGATGTCTCGGGAAGTGTCTCCCCGAGGGCTAAGATCCAAGATGTAACTGAACGACTGCAAGGAATCATAAAACCCACTGACAAATACCCCCTCCTCTTGGTTCATGTGGGAACCACTGACACTGCAAGCAATAGCCTCCAGAAGATCAAAAGAGACTACGAGGCTCTGGGCAGGAAATTGAAGCAATTAAATGCATAAATTGTCATCTCATCTGTCCTCCCAGTTGAACGACGTGGCCCAGGGAGAGAGGGAAAAAATAGTGGAAGTGAACAGCTGGCTTCGCAAATGGTGTAAACAGGAACGGTTTGGATTCTTAGATCACGGACTGCAGTTTCTTGAAGATCGACTTCTGGCAAGCGATGGGCTGCACCTCACAATGGTTGGGAGGAATGTTTTTGCCAAAAATTTCAGAAACCTCATCAGGAGGGCTTTAAACTGACTAATGTGGGGGAGGGAGACAGTGCGCGTGAAGGTAGGAGTCTATCAATTTATGAAGATGATCATCCAAATGTCATAGACCAAATGGAGCAAACAGCACGCAGACCTAGTGGTGGGAGGAAAAAATCCTTAAATAAGAGACACGGGGGAATTATTAATGGACTTCAATGTCTGTACACTAATGCGCAAAGCATGGGAAATAAACAAGATGAGCTTGAGCTCTTGGTACAGCAAACTAAATATGACATAATAGGCATCACTGAAACCTGGTGGAATAAGTCCCACGATTGGAATGTAATAATGGAGGGATACAATCTATTTCAGAGAAACAGACCAGACAAGAAAGGAGGAGGAGTGGCGTTATATGTCAGGGATGTGTATACCTGTGAAGAGATCCAAGATTTAGAACCTCAAAGCCAAAGTGAGAGCATTTGGGTCAAAATTAAGGGAGAGAAGAATAACAGTGACCTCATTGTGGGAATTTACTATAGATCCCCAAGCCAAACGGAGGACATAGAGGATGCCTTCCTGGAACAGATGGCCAAGCATGCAAAAGGAAGGGAGATAGTAGTAATGGGGGACTTCAATTAGCCGGATATTTGTTGGATGTCAAACTCAGCCAAGAGCATAAGGTCAAACAGATTCCTCACTGGCCTTGTAGACAATTTCATTGTCCAGAAAGTGGGAGAAGCATCAAGAGGAACAGCCATTTTAGATCTGGTCCCAACCAATGTTGATGACCTGGTTAGTGGGGTAGAAGTAGAAGGATCATTAGGCGCGAGTGATCATGCTCTTCTGAAGTTTACTATACAGCGGAAAGGAGCAGCCAAGCATACTAGGACTCAATTTCTTGACTTTAAGAAAGCCGACTTCATAAAACTTAGGGAAGTGCTGGGTGAGATCCCATGGACAGTAATACTAAAAGGAAAGGGAGTTCATGATGGCTGGGAGTTTGTTAAGAGGGAGATAGTAAAAGCACAACTTCAGGCAATACCAATGAGACGGAAACATGGAAGGTGCCTAAAGAAGCCAGGGTGGCTATCTAAAGAACTTTTAACTGAGTTAAGATTAAAAAAGGATTTGTACAAAAATGGAAAAGGGGGGAAACCACCAAAGAGGAATTCAAACAAATAGCCAGCACGTGTAGACACAAAGTCACAAAAGCTAAAGCTCAGAATGAACTCAGGCTTGCTAGAGAGGTTAAAAGCAACAAAGAAGGCTTTTATGGGTATGTTCGTAGCAAAAGGAAGAACAAAGAAACAGTGGGGTCACTCAGAGGAGAAGATGGTGAAATGCAAACAGGGGACACAGAAAGGGCTGAACTCCTCAATGCCTTCTTTGCCTCAGTCTTCTCCGATAAAGAAAACAATGCCCGACCTGAAGAATTTGGAGCAAATGATTCAGCAGAGGAAACACAGCCCAGAATAACTAAGGAGATAGTACAAGAATACTTGGCTAGTTTAGATGTATTCAAGACTCCAGGGCCAGATAAACTGCATCCAAGAGTATTAAAAGAACTGGCAGATGTGATCTCAGAACCACTGGCAGTCATCTTTGAGAATTCCTGGAGAACAGGCGAAGTCCCGGCAGACTGGAGGAGGGCAAATGTTGTCCCTATTTTCAAAAAGGGGAAAAGAGAGGACCCAAATAATTACCGCCCAGTCAGTCTGACATCAATACCAGGGAAGATTCTGGAGCAGATCATTAAGCAAACAGTCTGTGAGCACCTAGAAAGGAATGGTGTGATCACCAATAGTCAGCATGGATTTCTGAAAAATAAGTCATGTCAGACTAACCTGATCTTGTTTTTGACAGAATTACAAGCCTGGTAGATGAAGGGAACGCAGTGGATGTAGCCTACCTTGATTTCAGCAAGGCATTTGACAAGGTGCCCCATGATATTCTTGTAAAGAAGCTGGTAAAATGCGGTCTTGACTATGCTACCACTCAGTGGATTTGTAACTGGCTGACTGACCGAACCCAAAGGGTGCTCATCAATGGTTCCTCTTCATCCTGGAGAAGAGTGACTAGTGGGGTGCCCCAGGGTTCTGTCTTGGGCCCAGTCTTATTCAACATCTTTATCAACGACTTGGATGATGGACTCATGGGCATCCTGATCAAATTTGCAGATGACACCAAACTGGGAGGGGTGGCTAACACCCCAGAGGACAGGATCACACTTCAAAACGACCTTGACAGATTAGAGAACTGGGCCAAAACAAACAAGATGAATTTTAACAGGGAGAAATGTAAAGTATTGCACTTGGGCAAAAAAATGAGAGGCACAAATACAAGATGGGGGACACCTGGCTTGAGAGCAGTACATGTGAAAAGGATCTAGGAGTCTTGGTTGACCACAAACTTGACATGAGCCAACAGTGTGACGCGGCAGCTAAAAAGCCAATGCAATTCTGGGCCTCATCAATAGGAGTATAGCATCTAGATCAAGGGAAGTAATAGTGCCACTGTATTCTGCTCTGGTCAGACCTCACCTGGAGTACTGTGTCCAGTTCTGGGCACCACAGTTCAAGAAGGACACTGACAAACTGGAACGTGTCCAGAGGAGGGCAACCAAAATGGTCAAAGGCCTGGAAATGATGCCTTATGAGGAACGGCTAAGGGAGCTGGGCATGTTTAGCCTGGAGAAGAGGAGGTTAAGGGGTGATATAATAGCCATGTTCAAATATATAAAAGGATGTCACATAGAGGAGGGAGAAAGGTTGTTTTCTGCTGCTCCAGAGAAGCGGACACGGAGCAGTGGATCCAAACTACAAGAAAGAAGATTCCACCTAAACATTAGGAAGAACTTCCTGACAGTAAGAGCTGTTTGACAGTGGAATTTGCTGCCAAGGAGTGTGGTGGAGTCTCCTTCTTTGGAGGTCTTTAAGCAGAGGCTTGACAACCATATGTCAGGAGTGCTCTGATGGTGTTTCCTGCTTGGCAGGGGGTTGGACTCGATGGCCCTTGTGGTCTCTTCCAACTCTATGATTCTATGATTTCCCTAATCTGTATGTTGTGCTCCTTCCTCTTCCTGCATGTATATGCAGTTGTAACCAGGCAGACCTGGAAGCACACTCCCCAGCCCATGATAGAATGTATATTCACTGTGCCTTATCCCTTGCAAAGTACTAGGGCAATGCTTTCCCCCCTTCCACTGCTAGGATGGCCATTGTGGTTAGCTCCTCTCCCGTCACATAAAATGGAAAGCTAGCCGCTATATTTCAAGCTGTCTGAAATTTAAAGAGGCCATCTGGAAAAAAAGCAGAATATTAGTGCACATATAGCATAGGTTTGCTGTCAAGTGAACAAGAGAGAGTCCAGTTTAGTTGGAGGCCCGGCTCTATTGCTTGCTTAACCTCACGTTTAATCCCAGACCTATGGAGAAGGGCAGGCTTATCCCTTTCAAATTCCACCTAGTATTTGGTTGCAGGTGGCACCTAACTAATATTTCCCCATTTCCCCCCTGCTTGTTAATGAGCATCCTGGACTGCAGGGGTGTGGACCCCAGCTCTCTCTGTCTGGCCCTTGGGTCTCTCCTCAAGCCATTCCCCACTCATGGTCCCTGCCCTGCAATCTCCTTTAATGTGTCCTTGAAATGTGAGGATGCCTCTTATTTATCTGGGAGAGAGGGGTGTGTGTGTGTGTGTGTGTGTGTGTGTGTGTGTATGAGAAAGAGAGAGAAACCTCTGGCTCTTCATGGCCAGAATGTAGCCTACTGTAGAAAAGCAAGCATCACATCCATAGCCCCACCCACCTTTTGCCTCTGCACCTCCCCCGCCCCCTGGCATGCCCTCCCCAGCGAGCTGCCTATGAAGGGATGCAGCCCTTTTCTGAAAACCACTTCCCCACGCCCACTGCACTGCCTACTCACGTCACCTATAGGAAATTCCCACAGATCATTTGAGCATGTGGCAGGCATCTTCCATCACTTTTTCAGCATTCTTGATCCCTGGCAAACATGATGGAATTTTAACCCCCAACCTCTGGCTGGCAACATTCCAAAACGTATTTGGAACCTCTTCTTCTGAATTACTTTGTCTGTGTTGGGAGAGGAGGAAGTGATATTCAGAATCTTGTAGAGAATTTGCAGTCCAGGGGAACCGGCTATGAATACATCCATCGTCATTTATTTATGGGGCAACTGGCTGTAAATCCATGGTGAGGAAAATGGTGCTTGCTAAATACACTTCTCCAATCTTTTTGAAGCTGTGGGTTAAACCACAGAGCTTAGGACTTGCTGATCAGAAGGTCTGTGGTTCGAATCGCCGCGACGCGGTGAGCTCCTGTTACTCGGTCCCTGCTCCTGCCAACCTAGCAGTTCAAAAGCACGTCAAAGTGCAAGTAGATAAATAGGTACCGCTCTGGCGGGAAGGTAAACAGTGTTTCCATGCACTGCTCTGGTTCGCCAGAAGCGGCTTAGTCATGCTGGCCACATGACCCGGAAGCTGTATGCCGGCTCCCTCAGCCAATAAAGCGAGATGAGTGCTGCAACCCCAGAGTCGGCCACGACTGGACCTAACGGTCAGGGGTCCCTTTACCTTTTTATACTCGTGGTCAAGCCCTGTACTGTTGGACCAAACATGTTAAAAAGTGGTGCATTCCTTGCAATATGAGCTTTCCTGGTGGAAGGCAGCTGTGCTGCAGGAGTGCTCTTCTGATATTGAGAGTTTTTGCTCCCCAAAATTAGAGCCTCTGAGTGCTCCAGCATTTCTAAAAGAAGGGACACATTCTCTTATATGAAAAGACCTTGAATCCTTTGTAAGGATTCATCTTAAAGACATAGCTGGTCTGTGAGCTGAACTGCACCAAGCCTTGCCTCATCTCTCTGCTGCTGGAAATGAATTAGGACTGCTGGGGGAACAGAAGCTTCCCAGGGAAGCAGGAAAAAAGCGTGTGCTGAGACTTCTTAAAGGTACACATCATTAAAAAGAGCTTTGGCTACTGCTTTACATCCCCCCCCCTCTCTCTCCCTTGCTCATAAAGAGAATTGCTGCCATTATGTTTAACAGGCTCCTTTTGACTTGGTCCTTGGCACTGGACACTGGAATTGCCACAGCCAAGGGATTAATGAGAAGGGCAGAGAGGGCTGGTTCCCAGTGGACTTGGAACTGAACCTGGCAAAGCTCCCAGCCAGAGCAAAGGTAACGCGTGTCAGCGAGGGAATCTGAGCTTGCCGCAGCAAAGCTCCAAACATGACGTGTCTGTTGTTAACACAGCGAGAGCTGGCAACAGCAAGTGACTGCTTTTTATCGTAGTCGCTTAAAGTTTGGGCTACTGCTCCAAAAGGAGTAAGTCTACGTTGCAGCTTCCTTTCCCATTCTAGGGACTTGGAAGAAGGAGCAGGCAACGGCTTTGCATCAGGAGTAGCGTACTGTAAAAAAGCCTATGACGGCACCACAATTCACCGTACTTACTCTTAGCTCAGTTTAATGAGACACTGCTTTGAGCTTGACAGTGTGGCGTCTCACTTTCTGAATCCCAAGGGTGTGTTTGGGGGAAGGGCTGTAGCTCCGGGATAGATATCAGCTTTGCTTGCAGAAGATCTCTGGTTCCCTAGCATCTCCAGGTACAGCTGCTAATGTCCCCTGCCTGAAAACCTGGATAGCTGCTGCAACTCAGTGTAGAAAGTATTGAACTTGATGGACCGATTGAGTGGACATGAGGCAGCTTCCTATGTTCCTAAATATATGCATGACCACAAAGCCAGCAGCCTCATGAGTGATCTTGTAGGTGAATATATTTATGTAGGCTACAGTATAGAGGGCTACACAGATAGCTTTCCCACCCCAGGCCACCAGCCTTCTAGCCATCAAGCAAGCTGCTTCTCAAACAATTTTAGAAGGGATATTTGAAGTTATTGGGTGAAGCCCCCTTGCTCAGGGCAGGAATCTTGCAACTACAGAATCTCTGCCAGACACAGAGCCTCTGCTGGAGTATGTCCAGCGGGGAGCCCATCACCTCTCTAGGTTCTTGCCATTGGGAAGCATCCCCTAATGTTTAGAAGGAGATCCCTTCCCTGCAATTTTCATCTGCTAGTTCCAGAATTTCCCTCTGGATGTGTGAAATAGAGAACAAGTCTGCTCCGTCTTTTAAGTGGCAAGTCCTCCGGACATTTGAGTGCATGCTATCATGTTTCCTGTTAGCCTTCTCTCCTCCAGACTAAACATGCCCAGCTATTTCAATCATTCCTCATGGGCCTTGGTTTCTGGACCATAGCTGTCAACTTTTCCCTTTTCTTGCAAGGAATCCTATTCAGAATAAGGGAATTTCCCTTTTAAAAAAGGGAAACGTTGACATCTATGTTCTAGACCTCTTGCCATCTGGTTGCCCTCCTGTGTGTTTCTCGAGGGCTGCAATTGCTATTCAGACAAAGTCAAAAGCATCTTTGGGTACATTCAAATGGCTGAGTACAAGGAAAGGTGCTCTGTGCCTTTCAGTTGCAGTGTGCTGAAGCTTAGTAGTGGAGTCTTAGTTTTGTGCATGAGTTCATGCACAAATTAGAAGCTGGCCTCTTATTCACAGTCCAGTGCATCCTTTAGATTCCTCATGGATCCTCATACTTATTCTTTTTTAAATATGTTGATAGCCCTTTTGACCATGAAGAAAATTGTTTTAAAATGGCACCATTATCTGCTTGAGAGTTGATATATGTGGAGCTTTTTAGAGACAGAAATGGGAGCATGTCATTCTGCATTCTCCATCCTTCCCCACAGACCCATTTAGTTCCTGTTCATTCCTGCACTGCAGATTCTCACTAGTATTCCATGAGTCAGCATTTCTTTCCACACTTCTTGTGTTCAGTTAGATGATTCTAGAATATGGAATAAACTAGTAGCTTTTCAGAAGCAGCAAACACCAGCCTGTCCAGCTGCCTGCACTTCAGCAAAAGCCCAAGGAGGTCACTTCTACCATGGAGCTTTTTCAGATTAGGAAGTGCTGGCAGCCAGGGAGACTGCAGGGTGCTGGAGTAGTGGAAAGAAAAACACGGCTCCTTCAGCCACCTCACAACAATAAAGTCTGCTCAACCCTGCACTCACAACTCTAAAGCAGCCATCAAACGAGGCATTAAAATGGAAGCCCATTTTGGGCGAAGAAAACTTCTGAGAAATCCAACAGGTTTCTGCACAATGATACCATGTTGGAGCAGAACACTCATGGAGTATGATTCTGCTCTGTGATAGAATTTGGCTTTCTGGATTGGTGGATTTCTTCGATTTGAGCCTCAGCTTGGCCTGCAAGCCAGCACACACCTACTCAGTTCCATGCACCTGAAAGCAGCTGCTTTTTAATAATTGATAACTGGCCTGGCAAATTAAGTAAATTGCATTATCTAGAAGAATATGAATTTATTTTTTTCTTCTCTCTCGCTCTTTGGTTTGTGGGGGGTTATAGAACTCTCTGTAAAATTCCTAGTAGCTTCTCTCATCCAACAAACTTAACAACCCTGTGTTTTTTATTTCCCTAGAGGCAGCATCACGGTCGTTCCCACTGCTCCAAGATGCCCTGCAGGACCGAGCTTGTTTAAATGACGGGAGCCACAGAACTGGCCACTGGCTGACTCCAAGAGCAAGTTTATCCAAACAGATGGGGAAGACATTCCAGAAAAATGTCTTTATAGGACATCCTGCTTTGCCAGGAACTTGTTCAACAGGACAGCTTGCAGCAGGAATTTTGCAAGCTCAGCTCCGCAGCCATTGCATTTGCCAAAAGAACTTGAGCTTAACTTTGGCAGCAAAGTGCCTTAGGACAGGAACTTCTATCCCTCAGCAGGCTTTTCACATGATTAGAGGCATTCACTCTGGGGTGACCAGGAGCGAAGCAGAGGAGAAGAACCAGGGACCTCTTCCCAGTGGCCAATTTCTTAGTGCCTCAGATCGTCTAACCCACATTGACCAGGAGGGTCGTGCCTCCATGGTGGATGTGGGCAGGAAGCTGGATTCTGAACGGACTGCAGTGGCCAGTGCTGTGGTCCGTCTGGGCGAGAAAGCATTTGCCTTGGTGCAACAGAACCAAATGAAAAAGGGGGATGTGCTAGCAGTTGCCCAGATAGCCGGGATTCAGGGAGCCAAGCTGACCAGCCAGTTGATTCCACTGTGCCACAACGTCCCACTGAGTCTGGTGGACGTCTCCCTGAGTCTCGATGAGAGGAGGCATGCAGTGGTGATTCAGGCTCTGTGCCGCACCTATGGGAAAACCGGTGTGGAAATGGAAGCCTTGACCGCTGCCAGCCTAGCTGCCTTGACCGTCTATGATATGTGCAAAGCAGTTACTCACGACATGGTCATTGAGGAGGTGAAACTGCTCAGCAAGAAAGGAGGGCAAAGAGGAGACTTCCAGAGAGGCTAACGTAGGTCTAAAGTTTCCGAACCAAGGCATCACTTGCCGGTCATCAAAGGCAGCACCATCACATACTAGGAAGTGGAGATCTAGCTGCTGGGAATTACAAAGCACAACTTGAGTTATCGATCATCTTGGCAGCTGTTTTAAATGACTTGACTTTCCTGTATGAAACAGACATCGTTCATCTCATTTGCCTGCCTATGTAGTAAATGGTCTCCTTGGCAGTAGTGTTGAAGTTCTCATCTTCCTAGGGTTTCTTTGGCTTCCTGAAGTGTAGCTGTACTGAGCACCTTAACTATTCTCAGTGTACAAGGCTACAGTCCCCACTATTCATGGCTGTCCATCTTTTGGCACCTGCACTAAAAACATATGCATAATAAGATTTCCACTGGTGTAGAATAATATGATCCAGAACTAGGAATTCAGGCAGAGACACACAAAAAAGTGATTAGAATTTTCAAGCAAGTGAACAATGATTTTTAATACTTGGGCCTAACACTGGAAAATATATACTATTTTTTACCACTTTGGCCAAATAACACTTCAGTACGGTGAGAATAGGCTACATTTCATCCTTGAAAATGGAAAACAGGTGTTTGTCAACTGAGAAAACTGATGCTAAATACTCAAATTAGTCCCAGTAATGCTGTGAGACTCTTGCTTCCAGTGGTGTTGAATGTTAATGGGGCATTTTAATTCTCACAACAGAATTGTGCTGAACACGGCTACCATTTATCTTCCAGTCGTTAAATGTTCTGGAAAATAGGTCTCCCTTCATCAAAATTATTATTTTTTAAAGCTATAGGCTTGTTTCTTTTCTGCAAGATACTGGAAGGAGTACAGTTTCGGGATACACACTCCTTTGTGCCAAATCCAGTCACTGGGCTACATTTCTGTCACCACTCCAAAACATTTCCATCCTGTTTCTATAGAACCTGCTGGATCACCAAATCCCCCAGGCTCTTCAAGGTAGCGTTCAAGATGATGGAATCCTCTGTGAGTAGCACACTAAAATGGCAACAAATATAGGAAAACAGTGTCTTCCAATTCCCCCACATACAGTTGATGATGGTGTTAGGATGTAAGGATTTTAATGAAACCCAAGTGTCTGGAATTGGGAAAGCTCATTCTGAGCATTATTGGCCATAAAATTTTATCAGCAGGACTTAATGTTTAAATGCATCCTTCTTACACATACTGACCCCCAACTTCACCACATGCCCCCCTCTCATGTGTGCAGAGCAGTGTGTGCACATTTTTGTCTTTAGGAAAGCAATGATCATTCTGTTTATTATTATTATTTTTTGCAAACTCCTTGACAATTAAACTTCAGAAGTGACATTTTTAAAACTTACAGATTAAAAGCTTGACTTTGCATTTTTAATACTTCTGCTGCTCTTTCTTTCTTTCATGGTTGTTCTGAGGATATATGAACATTTGTTTCAGTCCTGCAATTTACCTGCTTTTCGTTTTCAGATTGTATCAGGAATCTCATTCGAAATTTTAAATTGTGTTCTTTGACCTAAGATTGCCGCACCATAAAATAAATGCCTTCCTTGGATGGGGTCTTACAACATCAAAAATCCGCCATGTCCACCGTAAATGCCTCCTATACATATCCTCATGAAAAGAATAAGAAGCACAGGAATACAGCTGTGACTTGTGTAAAAGAAGATGTTTTCCAATGGATCTTCTGATATACCAGGTGTTGCAGGAAGGCATTGGCCTAGGGATGTTAGGAAACTGCTCCAATCTAGTTAAAGTCGATAACAAAAGAGAAGTTTCCCATGTGAGTGTTTCCGTGACTTTTGCACCTTCAGCAATAGTTGGCATGCAAGCTAATGTAGATAACACAGTAAACCGAGTTGTATACTCAACATGGAGACAATAATACATCTCCCACCTACCAAATGTGAATGAGTTCCTTTCTTTCTTTTTAAAAATTGAACTATATAAAGTGTACATTTGGGGGTTTTCGCTTTCTAGTTGTAAACGCATAGGCGTGATTTCTTTTTAAAGGGCTTGGAAATTAACTTTATCTCACGAACGGAAAACTTGCTACAAATGCTGGTTCTGAATACATTTGTGTTACTTTCTGAAAAACTGTCCAATAATTGAAATCAGGGTACCCAGATGTGGTTTTGTTACAGTTGCCCCTGAAGTTTGTCTGCAGGGGGAAAGATGGGGCTTCATGCTTACGGGTTTGGCAAAATTTTGATCCATTTTTAAAAGAGGTCATTTTATATTTAAAGTGAGTTGTTAAGCACATTTTCTGGTGTGCCATAATCAATCACTATATGATTCTTGGATCTATGTACAAGTTTGGTATGTTTTCTAGATAATGGTGTACTTGGGATATAATGATTTACGCACAGATTTACTGAAGCACTGAGATTTTATTTTATTGCTCTACTGCACTTTTAATAAATAACAATTGCAAACAATGAGAGTATGTGGTCTTCATTATTCAGATATCTGTCTACTTTACGGATAAAATGTTGAACAGTGGGGGGGGGGAGTCATTAGGAATGAATGGGAACTTTCATAGAAGCTAGAAACAAGAAAGTTTAAACTTACAACCACTTTTTTATGCAAACAGCTCTGTTGGATTAAACCGAAAGTCCATCTAGTTCAGTGGCCGGCCAAATGTGCCTGGGGGAAGCCCACAAGCGTACTGTGAGCAATGGCGTTCTTCTGTTACTTCCAAGCAACTGGTGTTCAGAAACATGCTGCCTCTGTTACAGAAGGTAATATATAGCCATCATGACTGCTAGCTATTAATATTCTATTCATTGTTGGTGGCGCTCACTACATCTTGTGATGTCAAATTCCATATCTGAACTATATGCTGTGTGAAGAAGTACTTCCTTTTGTCTGGCCTGAATTTCCCGCCATTCAGCATCATTGGATCCTAAGATTATGAGAAAGTGTGGGAAACTTCTCCCTATGTGCTTTCTTCACACCATGCCTAATTTTATTGTTTCAAAATGTTTTACACCATGTCAACAATAAACCGGAACTATCTTCTTGTCCATTAGGCTTGATGTCTAAAACCAGGCAAAATAAACATGAAAGAGGGATTGATGACGTAAGGGGAGGGTTAATTAACAATAGGTTTTCAAATGGGTGAGCTTGGATAGTTGACTTCAAAGACTTGGGATTTGATAAGATACCAGTAATTAAATTTATGGGATGCACAGAAAAGCACAAGGAAGAGCATAACAGGGTTAAGAAGAGATGGTGAGGGCAGAAATTGTATAGTCATACCTTGGGTTAAAGTAGCTTCAGACTGAGCGTTTTCAGGTTGCGTTCCCTGGTGACCCGGAAGTAACGGAACGGGTTACTTCCGGTTTTCGCTGCTCATGCATGCGCAGATGCTCAAAATGATGTCACATGCATGCACAGACACAGCGAATCGTAACCCGCAGATGCGCAGACGTGGGTTGCATTCTGCTCAGGATCCCGTTCGCATCCAGAGGTACCACTGTAATTTGAAAAGTTCTTATGCCTCAGATTTCTGCACACTTCTCTAAGCAATGTGTTACTAGTTCTAGGGAATAATAAAAGGGCTGGTAATATTTGTGTTTTGCTAATTGTAGCAAGAGGAATAGAGCAAGACACAAAAGGGGTGAAATGATCAATATACTAATGTTCCAATATCTATGACAGTTATTTTTGTTTGATTCTGAAGTGGCTTCCTCCTTCTTTTTCAGGGGTTAAGGACGGTTGGATTAGGGGCACCAAGGTTCCAAGGGCAGCTGCTGACACCATGAGGTAAACAAAATTACAGATCAATTTTAGCATTGTTGATTAATTAACAAGATAGCTGTTGTGTTTTTCTGAGCTCTCTGGTAGTAAGGCTGAGTAAAACCAGACTTAGGTAAATGGCCAGATTATTCCTTGAGTATTTTACATGAATGGCACATTTTTATCCTGAAAGTATGTGCTGTTTTTGCTAATGTTTTGGACAGAGTGCCCTGGTTTCCTTTTACAGACCTCCAGGCCAATGTCCTTTACTTCAGGAAAGCAAACAAGCCCGCTTTCCCTCAAGATTTAAGCTTCAATAATCTGTGGCTCTGCAGCCAAGTCATGGTACTCAACAGAAATATTAGAAGTTGTAACTGTGTGTGGCATTGGTTGTTGGCACAGATCGACTCGGGGAGGGGAAAGGGGAGCGTGTCCACAGAGTTTCACTGAATGAACATGACTGTGGAGAGGTGATAACTCTTGCTACCCACAAAGTCTCGTGTCTCCTATTCTGGCTGGCAATTTGAGAGACTCCGTTCTGCCCAAGTCTACTCCCAGTTGTGGTTAATGGAAAAGGCAGAATGCTGCCAGAGCCTCTGTACTTTTGAGTTCACAGAGAATTCAGGCAAAGCTGTAAGAGTCCTGCTGGCACAGAAGGCAAGTGCCTGGACAAACCTTCCAGTGGTTCAGAAATGTTCTTGACACGCAGCCAAAAGTATCGTACTTGCACAGTAATGGGATACACGAAGAACCACCCCACAGCAACGAGTAAAAGACACGAAGGACTACACAAATACCTTGTGTTGGTGGTGAGAATGTTGGATTTGGGTTTGGATAAGGGGTACATTTTATTGCCTGTGGAGCTGTAATTGTGTAGCCTCTGAGGTAACCAACCGTTGGTCTTCAGTGGGTGGGTTGTGATGCGACCAATGTGGGGCTACCTGAGAGAACTATTTCAAATCAAATTAGGAGCTAAGTTCTGCTGAGAGAGGAGACAAAGAGCCCTTATTGAATATATTGTCTTCCTGCCTTTCCTTACCTGTTGCTCTAGATGCAATGGTTGAAGCTAGTCTAAGCACTGGGCCAGATAAGTGTTGGGGGGGGGGGGCAAGATTCTGCCACCCTTCCACTATGAACTTTTATGCTTTGTTTGTGATTTGGCGCATTCTCAATATAGTGGGGAAGAGGAGTGTTGGCAATTGCTTTACTATAGGCTTACAATAACACCCAAAATCTCCCAGGGTGGTCCTGGCAGTGCCTCTAGAGTTCATCCTTCTAGGACAAGGCTAAGGAATCAGGCCTTCCGCATGTTTTTTTGGGACTAGATCCGCCATCAGCTCTGACCATTGGCTGATGGGAGTTGGAGCCTAACAACAACTGGAGAGCCATTGCTTCTTCAGCCCTTGGCTTTTTAAAAATTGAAATTCTTAAGACTCCTTTCTCAGAAAGACTCAGTACGACTTACAAAAATGCAAGAGATGTTTCAACAGAGCAGCTAAAGTAACAGTGCCATAACTGTTGCCAGTGCAAAGCAAGTAGAAGCATTAATTGCGCCTAGCCAATAAGGGTAGTACTGGAAAACCAGCTAAAGAAGAATGGCATGAAAATTCTTTTTCTTAAAATGTAGATTGTAGTGCCTCCACTGGGTTCATTATTGTGTTTCTTTTCCTGGAGCCTCTGGCAAAAGTGGAGCCAGAAAGTAGGAATGGAAGGAGGCAGCAGCATTGCATCGCTGCTGTAGCAGCTGTGTAAAGTGGTTCCACGTGGATCGAACCAGGGCCTAACTGGCTGCTGTATTCATTGCCGTGTGGTTCTGGGCAGCGGTTTTACATCAACAAACTGTTATTTATTTACTTTAGAACTTGCATTCCATGGAAGAAGATGCTCCAAGATAGTGAGATGGCTAAAATTAAATGCAGCTGGCAGAAGTGTGGAAGGTAGGGAGGGAGTGGGGAGAGATCCCTTTGGTGAAGAGAACAACCATTGCAAAAAACCCCACAAAAACCCACCATTGCTTCTGGAAACTTTCCCTGCTCCAAATTTGGTAGAATCATCTCTTGTCCTTTGCATAACCCTAGAATTTCAAGGACTTGTCTTGGTACAGTCTGCCGTACTGTAGAAAGCTATCCTTGCAGTACTTTAGGGTGTGATCCTTCTACTTGAGATCATTTTTTTTAAATCCAAAGTTGCCAGGTATTTAAAACCTGGGACTTACAGATGCAAAACATATGCTTTGCCACTGAGCCGTGGCCCTTCCCTCCCATCTCCCCTTCTCGATAAACAAAGACCTGATTAGCATCTCTCAGATGATGGCAGATTTATCACTGCTACAAAATAAAAACAGCATCCTAATGACTGCAAGCTTCCTCTCTCCTCTCTTCCAGATGAAATGTTTTGCCAAATCACTCTCTTGGCCACAGAATAGAATGAAGATCCAAATTCTGTATGACAGAAGCTCAAATCCCGTGCATGGAGTTCATAATGCAAATTTGGGGGATCTGCTTTATTTGCGCAATTGATTCTGGTTGCTGTATTTTAGTGTGACAGATGAGAAGTGCTGTTTAACATCTGTATGAGAGACACTGTGGTGGAGTGGGTAGCGGCAGACTAGGACCCCAAGTTCAAATTCCAGTCAGACCTGAAGCTCCTTGAATGACTGGCTGAAGGTTGCTATATCCCTGCTTAATTTACCCCACAGGTTTGTCGTGGGGATAATGGGGAGGGGTAGAACTACCTGTTACCCCATGGCTTCCTTGAAGAAAATGATAGGCTAAAATGTCCTTTTACAAATGATGGTGAGAGAGATCATTCACCATTTGAGAGATAGGTGCCATCTATATTCTAATGAAGCTCATTCAGGGACTTCACTGAAGAGACATGAGTGGTTGTCTGAAATCTGTGACTGGTTGGATAAATGCTGTCAAACTGAAGCTCAATACAGATATAATGGATGTGTTGGGAATGGGTGTACAATACACCTCAGAAGAAGTCAAAGGTTGTTACTTGGGGGCAGTGCTTTTTTTCTTTAAAAATGTTTAGGGGTACTCTCATTTTCCTACTCATATTGAAATACTGCCCCTCAATGAGGCCAAACTTAGATTCACAAAATGTTTAGGGGTATGCGTACCCCTGCATCCCCCCAGAAAAAAGCACTGCTTGAGGGCATTCCTGTACCTACCTGTGGTCTGTTCTCCATCTTACATGCTGTGTACACTGAGAAATTCACAGGAGAACAAGGAACCAGTCACACTGACACATGCAAGCTACACTCACCTTTCCATTGGAGTATTGTAATGTGTGTTTTCAAAAGGTGTTTGGGGAATTTTGCTTGTCTGAAATGCAACATCGAGGCTCTAGAAGGGCTTGGAATGGAGAATCTGGTCCTCCGTAATATTTTCATGTGAAGCTTTAAACAGCATGGAAACAATATTTATTTCTGTGGCTGATAAGTAAGTTGCTTAAAAGCAAAAACCAGGCAAAGGGGCTTATAAAGAAATCTTCCAGTCGGAAGAGCGAATTTTCATTGAAAAGCAAATTTAAGTTTTCTTCAGAACCTTTCATTTGTCTTGAAGGAAGATCTGGTTTGATCTGCCTCATTCCTTCTGATATAGCTTAGTCTGTATGATGATGGACTAGTCCAGGAATGAGGAACCTGTAGTTGCCCAGGTGTTTCTGGGCTTCACATCCCATCAG